ACCTGGAAAGCAGGATATGATAGGATTAAACCACAGATATCAAGGCCTAGAAAAACACTCAGAAATAGCCTCAAGGGTCATGCCACAGGAACAGGAAACTATTCCAAACAAGGCTAGAGGGGGTATAAAAACCTACTGCCCCTGTGCTCAACTGCTCTTTCCTCTCCTCTGCTTTTTCTTGCAAGGACCATCTTTCTGCTTCTTCAATAAACTGTAACCTTCTTCCAAAAGCAGTTGCCATGTTGCTTATTTATTCCCGGCTTGGATGAACCAGGATGAAGACTTACTTCTGACAAGGGTGATCTGCATATTTCTCAGGGTACCTGGCTGTGGAATGCTGATACAAACAGCCTCCAGTCCTTCTCACCTGTCATCCTCCTTCCCAATTTCCTATCACGTACACAACGCTTTATTGCCGTTTCATCTTTTCCCCCTCTCATCCCCTTGTGGGATGTAAAGATACCAAAAAATAATCCAACTCGCATCCACTGTAAAGAACTGAGACCTGAGTTAACCAGTATGACTAGAAGCAGGGAAACTTTTTCGGTCAAAGGCCTCATGATGTGAGAGAATAATAACATAGATATCAATGAAGAGTGAATAAAACGTTTTAGGAGGAAGAATTCCTGTCACAAAAGGAGCCAGAATGACGAGAAATCCCCAAAATTCAGGGGCAATCCCCCCCCAAGCATTAAGACCATTTTTTGCCTTTTTGTGCTGTGATGAGAGCTGAGAAAAAAAATCTATTTAAATAAAATTAAATATCAGTGATGTAGTTAAATCCTTTTTCTCTTTGGTTGCATCAAATATTACTATGTAGGAAACTATTTGGAGGACTTTGGGTGGGTGGTGTGGACAAATTTTAGGGCTTCCGAGGCTCCTGCTGAGTTGAAACTGGAAGTAAATCTGATCCAGATTTCAAGCTGCAAAAGAAAGATTTTGTTGATGCTACTTGAAAGCAGATTTATTTTCCAGAAAATCAAAATCTCTTGAAGGTAGAGTACAAAATAGGGAAAGCTCTAGTAACACTATAGCATTTTAAATTAGTCTCTTAGTTGATTTTCCTTGTTTATTTTTAGCATTCTTATTGCTCCGGAAAATGACTTGATTAAATCAAGCGATGACTGAATTTCTTCCTTTAAATTATAAGTGTTATAATTAAACACGAAGTGTAAATCAAGTTTTGTGTGTTCACTTGTGTGTTTTTTACAATTTAAAATAAGAGTAATTCTCACGTTTGAGTAAATTTAAAGGATGTTGGAGGCTGTAAATCAGTAATATATAATTCCTGATACAATATTTCTAACGCAGTTGTAAAATTTATAAATTCTTCCCGCAAAACTCTTTGTTCAAATATTGCTTGTGGATAGTTGGGGAAAAGGCACTGATTCTGGTTTTGTGACTGTTATTGTCAAATGTTTCATTAAAGAATTGGAAATCAGATTGGTAGTCAAAAAATTAGCCAACAATTATAAAGAAGCTGGATAGGTATAGAAATGGGCTGGGGGAAAAATAAAACAGAATTTAAGTCCATTCTTTTTAAATAACTTTTTAATCATGACTCCCACTCCATTTCAACTGCTAATTGTAGCTCAGTCTCTTTTTTAATCCTTCCAAATGTAGAGGAATCTCTTCAAACCAGTAGTTTTCAGGTTTTGTTTTTGTTTTGTTTTTTTGCTTTATCTGTTATCTAAAATATTCCCTTTGCCTTAACTTCTCCAAAGATCTTGCTTCCTAGTCACATTTCCTGAGGTAAATTCTTTACTCAACCCCTAAATAAAATAGATTTTTCCCCTCCCCTTTCCCCCTCATGGTATTTGAATGCTGTAATCCCTTTCAACTATTCATTTAGTTATTTAAAATCTTTGTATAGTCAGCAATCTTTTCAGGCAATTTGGGTCGGCTCCCAATCAAAGATTAAAAGATATCTAAAATCACGTTAATAACTAAAACAAAACTGGTGAAAACATAAAATATTAAAAACTACAAAAACCTTCCTTTGATAATTCTGTCTGTCATACCACCATCTTCCCCCCCCTTTCATTTCTCCACCAGATTTCTGGAACATCCAACAATTTTTTTCTCCATTTTGGAACTGGTTTTCCTTTCTTTTTCTTCAGCATTATTCTATGAGCCGAAAAGGGGCTTTTCTCCTACTCCCATACCCATCATCCCTGACCTCCCCTTCCCCTCAGATGCTCTCTTCTTTCCCAATATGTGTGTGTGTGTGTGTGTGTGTCTGTATGTATATATATATATATATATATATATACATACAGATGACCACGAACGTGAAGCCAAAAAATAGCAAGGCAACCCACCATCTTAAATCCCCCTGCAACTGAGACTAACCTGAGCACAACAAAGCCCCCACCCAAACAGAACACTCCCCCAGCCAATCAGAGCACAGCCAACCCCCCAGCCAATCAGAGCACAGCCACGCCCCTAACCAATCAGAACACACCTCCACCCAATCAGAACACAGCCAAGCTCCCACCCAATCAGTTCATACCCCCACTGGCAGTTAAAAGGAAGAAACAGCTAAGACCACACATTGCTGCCCGAAGCACGAAGCTGAAAACACCAGCCTGAAGATGACGAATGGGATTTCGTCGAAACGTCACCAAGACACTTCCAATTTTACATGGGAGAAAACCCAAATAACCAAAGACCTACATATATATATATCTTAAGAGACTCTCCCACTCTCTGGCGTTTTAAGCCCTGATGATGCCGGCAGGTGACAGCGAAAGCTTGGTGTTTTTAAATTAAACTTTTATAGTTTTAATTACCTTGGTGCTCATTTTATTTTAACATGAATATACCCAGGATTCATATTTTTAATATTATTACTCATATATATATGTATATATATGTGTGTATGCGCACACACATACATTGGATTGTGATTTTCTTAATTTGGGCTCCTGGAATTCCCACAGGAGTGTCAGAAGTTTAACTGTAAGTTCACCTGTTGATTTATTTAAGTATTAAATCACTTTACGTACTAGTCATCTTGAATTGCTGCTTGTGACCTGAGTTATTTAAAAAATTGTGTCACGCTTTTCCCTCCTTCTCTCAGTCTCATCTGAATTAACTCTAAAAATATCACAGTTCTGCATATTTTGTCAAAGCAAGAATATTCAATATTAGCAGCATTGACATCTGTTCTTAACTCTCTAGGTCAGGGATGTCAAACTGCCGGCCTGTGGGCCGGATGCGTCATGCAGAAGCCATGCCCATCCCATTGCCGGCAATGGCAAAACAGGGGATAATTTTTTACATGCACTTAAAGCTATATATCAGCAACAATCCGCACAAATCGTTGTAAATGGGAGATTGACTGAGAATTTTAATATTGAAAAAGGGACAAGACAAGGATGCCCATTATCCCCATTGTTATTTGTTTTAAGGTTGGAAATTTTATTGATTCAGATTCGAGAATCAAAGGTAGTTAAGTGCATAAAGATAAGGAAGAATGAGTATAAATTGCGGGCCTTTGCGGATGATTTGGTTTTAATTTTGGAACAACCGAATCAAGCGATTGTTTATTAGAACTTATAACACAGTATGGGAATGTCTCTGGTTTTAAAGTCAATAATTATAAGACTAAGATTATCTAAGAATATGTTAGTTAAGGATAGGGAAAGTTTGGTCAAAGTCACAGGTTTTCAGATAGTATTTTGAGTCCTTGATAGAAGCTGATCAAGAAGTATTCTCGTGAATTTTCCCCAAATGCAGAGAAGTCAACCTACCTAATAAGATTCCCCTCTTTCTTCCGACATTTTCTTCTTTTTATCTTTTCTTTAGAGGAGAATCCTTTTCTGTGACCACGAACACCAGAAACAAACAAGAAATCAGCTGAGAAAAGGGACTTTGGAAATCTGGGGCTAGAAGTAAAGTTTGGATAAGAACTCCATGGATGTGTGGGAGATATTCGCCACATTTGAGTGTGCTGCAATAGTTACTATTTCTTGGACATGGGAATAACCAAACTCAGTCCCATGAGGCAACTGAACTTTCTTTTTTCTCTTTGAAGACGTTTTGCTTCTCATCCAAAAAGCTTCTTCAGCTCTGACCGGATCTGTACATTGGGGAAACAAAACAACCATTACATGAACCTATGGCACAACACAGAAGAACAAACCCATCAGGGTAAGATTCAGCAGTCCATCTGCATTTAAAAGACAAAGGCCACTTTTTGAAGACAGCAAAGTCCACATTTTGGTCAGAGGACCTCTGGTTTGAAAGAGGGGTCAAAGAGGCCATCTGTGTCAAAACTGAACAGCGCCCTCTCAACAGAGGGGGAGAGATAGGACCCCATCTATCTCCAGTCTGCAACACGGTCCTTTCAGCAATCCCAAGAAGGCTCCACACCCATTTGCACCACTCAGGTGACCCTGACGACACAGATAAGCCTCCGGTGGCATCAGCGACTCTCTAAAAGAAGGTGAGCCGAGGTGGCGCAGCAGTTAGAGTGCAGTACTGCAGGCCACTTTAGCTGACTGTGTTCAGCAGGTCAGCGGTTCAAATCTCACCGGCTCAAGGTTGACTCAGCCTTCCATCCTTCCGGGGTAGGTAAAATGAGGACCCAGATTGTTGGGGGCAATGTAAATATATATATATATATATATATATATATATATATATATATATATATATATATATACACACATTGCTTACTGGTGTACACCGCTTAGAGAGTGCTTGCACTTAAAGCGGTATATAAATCTCATAAATAAATAAAATAAATGACCAGCTGTCTACAAGGAGTATAAATCCTTCCATTCCTCATTATCCAGTCAGAGCTGAAGAAGCTTCTTGGATGAGAAGCAAAATGTCTTCAAAGAAAAAAAAAGAAAGCATGGTTCTATCATGAAAAAGCACCTTTGGGACAACCATGATTGGGAGGACTGAGAATCTCCACAGAAACCAAACTCAAATCTTGTTTCTTTTGTGTGAAGTTGAGACTCAGGGTGGACAGTAGGAATGAGAAAGCATTTTTTCTATCAAAAGTTTTATTTATTTATTTATTTATGAACAGAAGATCTGTTCATCTTCAATGCACCTAGCAGGAACCAAAGGGCTGGAAGGGACCTCAGAGGTCTTCTAGTCCAACCCCCTGCTCAAAGCAGAAGACCTTATATCATTCCAGTCTATTGTTGAAAACCTCCAGTGATGGAGCATCCACAATTCCAGGAAACAAGCTGTTTCAAGTGTTCTCACTGTCAGGAAATGTCTCCTTACTTCTAGGTTGGATTCTCTTTAACGAGCTTCCACCCATTACTTCTTGTCTTGCCTCAGATACTATGGGGAATAAGTCAGTCCTCTCTTCTCTGTGACAGCCCCTCAAATACTGGAAGGCAGTTATCATGTCTCCGCAATCCTTCTTTTTGACAGGTTAGACGTAACATTCATCATACAATTTAGCCTCCAGACCCTTTGATCCATATTGCTCTCTTGATGATTCCTTCTCACAGCAACTGCTTTACTCTTTGAAAGATGAGGTGCGACTTGACCATCTTGCACTCTGTTCTGGATCAAAGAACTTTGGGATATCTATGGTTGTAACAGAATCACCATCGATGAGTTAAAATGAGACTGTCAACACTGCTACCATCGGATGTTTTTGCATTGACAAAAGATGGAAATGTAGCCATCTTTTACCTTTTGATTTTAGAGATAGATAATGCTGGGAGGGGGGATGTGAACGAGAGCCCAGCTAGATATAACAACACTAAACCTAGCGTGAGAAACAAGGTTATTGTAACCAGAGCTGATAAGGAATTGACGGGCTGGAGAACCGGAGAGGAGGCCCACGCTTCAAGTTAATTGGGGAATGTGATTTATGACTGTTAATTGGAGGAGGGAATTGTGCTTTGATACTATGTGCTCAGGGGAGGGGAATTCAATTTTTGGCTTTGATTATGCAATGCTGATATTATGCTACTCAAAATAAAGATTCTTTAAGGTAAATAATGCCTTAAAGTTCTTTTGAAGAGTTTCATCTGTCGGAACCATGACAGAGACCTTGCAATGTCTGAAAGAGGCCAACATCTAATAGCAACAATTCTTGCTTCCTGCTCAGTAGTCCTTGAGGTTAAAGTAGATTTGGGTTGCAAAACCAGAATGACCAACCCCCTGGCACAGCAAGATACAAAAAAATAAAATAAAATAAATCCTAATTTGTTGCTGGTATCTAGCAGTGACCTATGTCTATTATCCCAGATATAGCATTCTTCTTTTCAGATCCCTTTCTATACCCTGAGATATCATTGATTTAATTTTTCCTCTTTGCATTAAAAATAGTGTGCATATAGCAAACATTTTAGCAAAATGCAAATGTTGTTTACTTCTATGACAACCGGGAGTAGCATATATACCCAGTGTCTGTAAACTAATCTAAAAATAAACTTTAATTCCTATAAAAGCACCCATGAATATCAGTTACATTAATAAACTGCTGAACATGAAAATGTCTCAACCCTCTTCTCTCATGAAGAAATTATCCTTTTGCAGTTGGAATCTGAAGTAACAATATAAATGTTTGTTGAAGATGTCCATTCCATGTTAGCACTGAAGACTTCCTAATTTTTCATGCATGATTTTCTTTTGTCCATCACAATTCTTCTGTATTTTAGGACAATATTCCTTCGTATGAATTCTTTGCACTCAGCTCAAATTATCACCCCATTCTACATTTATAGACTTTGTTTTGGATTCTGACAAGAAATTAGGTCAAAACTCTAGTCAGAGTTCTTCCTGTACTCCAGGCAGTTATTTCTTTTTCAAGTGGGTCCTTCTTCTATGTGAAGTAAGGTTACTGCTAGTTTTGAATGTTTCCCCACACACCTTGCATTTGTAGGGTTCCTCCCCTGTGTGGCTCCTTTTGTGATAACAAAGAGCATTTTCCCAACGGAAACACTTTCCGCATTCCATGCATTTAAATGGTTTTGCGATTAAGTGGGTCCTTTCGTGGGAAATTAGGTCACATCCCTGACTAAAACTCTTTCCACATTCCGTACATTTATATGGTTTCTCTTCTGAATGGATCCTCATATGGAAAGAAAGTTTACTGCTCGTAATAAAGCTTTTCCCACATTTGGTGCATTGATATGGTTTTTCCCCTGTGTGAGTTCTTTTATGAGAAATAAGAACACTATTCCATTTAAAACTTTTCCCACACTCCATACATTTATAGGGTTTCTCTGTCCTGTGGACTTTTTTGTGAGAAGAAAGCTGAGAAAAGCTTTTCCCACATTCTGTGCATTTATATGGTTTTTCCCCTGTATGAATCCTTTTATGGGAAATGAGGTGGCTACTTTGACCGAACCTCTTTCCGCACTCCGTACATTTAAACGGTTTTTCTCCAGTGTGAGTTCTGTTATGACAAGTAAGGGTAGTGCTGTTGTTAAAGCTCTTTCCGCACTCCATGCACTTATATGGTTTCTCCTCTCTGTGCGTCTTTTCATGACGCACAAGCAATCCAGTTTCACGGAAATTCATTCCACATTCCATGCATTCATATGTTTCCTCTCCTATGTGGATTCTTTTATGGGATATAAGGGAGCTGTTTTTCTGGAATCCTTTCCCGCATTCCACGCATTTGTATGGTTTCTCTCCTTTATGGCTCCTTTTATGAGAAATTAGGCAAGCCCTCTGACTGAAACTTATTCCACACTGTGTGCATTTATGTTTTTCCTTTGAGTGAATTCTTCTGTGGGTAGAAAGGCTACTGCTTGTATTGAAGCTCTTCCCACACTCCGTGCATTGATATGGCTTCTCTCCCGTGTGTATCCTTTGATGGGAAACCAGACAATGTTTCCACCGGAAGCTTCTTCCACACACAGTGCATTTATATGATTTCTCTTCTGTATGGATCTTTTGATGAGACCTAAGGGAACAATTCTGACTAAAGCTCTTTCCACATTCCGCACATTTATATGGCTTCTCTCCTGTATGGATCCTTTTATGGGAAGCAAGGTCACAGCGCCTCCGGAAAGTGTTACCACATTCCATGCATTTATAAGGCTTCTCTCCGCTGTGGATCCTTCTGTGATAATTAAGGTGACTACTCTGAGAAAAGTTCTTTCCACACTCCGTGCATTTGTAAGGTTTTTCCCCACTGTGGATTCTTTTGTGAGAAGTAAGATGGCTTTTTTGACTAAAGCTCTTCCCACACTCCAGGCATTGATATGGTTTCTCCCCTGCATGCATCCTTCTATGGGACCTAAGATACTGGCTCCATTTGAAGCATTTTCCACACTCCATGCATTGGTATGGCTTTTCTCCTGCTCTTCTTCTTTCAGCTAAAGAAATAGTTCTTCTGTGATACTTTCTATTGTCCAACAATGCACCACCTTCTCCTTTAGTGTAAGTCCTGTAGTTTTTATTAACAACTAATGTGTCTTTGAATGTTTCCCTTCTTTTCCCTAAAGTCTTTTCTTGACTTCTTCCTTTCCAAGGTTGTTGAAGAACATCTTGAATCTGAATACAATGGAGATTGGATTTTTTTCTCCCCGGCTTTTTGGACTGGTTTTTCTCTTTTTTAAGTCTTTCTTCCTTTTTCTGATCGATCTCTTGAAATGGTTCCTTGCAACTGTCATTCTCCTGCCCATGAACTCCTTGAGAAGAAAAAAGAAAAATTGGACAAAGCTAAGGGAAAGAAAAAAATATATATATCAAAGAACGTCACTGAATTCCCCCCTAAGATTTTGTTGACTTACTGAGATAATAATAATAATAAAATTTATTCATTGTGGACATCTGATGGGATTATTACAATTTCAGGAATATAAAGATACATGGTCAATATGCCGATGTAGTTTCTCTTGAAGGAACACCTTCAAAAGTCAATTTCTGTTAAATAGCAAAGCCTATCCAAGTAAATAATTTCTATTTTACATGGACGAGAGAACTTTGAATTTTTTAAAAGTCTTTTCCCCCAGAAAATAGAAGTTTATTTATTTTAACTGAAGAGGAAATCTGTGCCCTTATCATTTTTCCCTCAGCAAATTAATTTTCTTCATATCTTAACAGAGGTCAGATATAAAGTAGTGAGGAATCAAAAGATATATTTCTTTTCTTAAGGACGTCCAGAGGGATAATTTGAGCAGAGCCAATCATATTTCATTCCCTATCCATATTTTCCTACTTCTCCTCTGCCATCGTCTCCTCCCCATTGCAACCACTGCATTGCAGTCAAGTAGTTTATCTATTAATATTATCTATTAACTTAAAGCCACATCTCCACATAGGTGCTCCACATATTTCACCCAGAATCTAGAGCAGTGGTTCTCAACCTGTGCGTCGGGACCCCATTTGGGGTCGAACGACCATTTCACGGGGGTCGCCAAACAAGGCTGTCTGCCATTTTTTCCCCCTTTTCTTTGGCCATGCCCCTGGCACCCGGTGATGTATAAGTGGTTGGGGGTCAGCACAACATGGGGAACTGTATTATGGGGTCGCGGCATTAGAAAGGTGAGAACCACTGATCTAGAGACACTGGATTACAGAAGAAAATGTCAAAAAGAAGAAAACATTGTAATCCATTGTTTCTCAACTGTGGCAACTTTAAGCTGTGTGCCTTGTTGGCTGGGGAACTCTGGGAATTGAAGTCCGCACAGCTTCTTAAATTTATTTAACAAATTTATATGCCGTTCATCTCGCAGTTGCCAAATAACAATTTTTAGAAAACATCTCTGGTTCATAGGACAAGCAAGTAGCTTCCTATCCTATACAAGAAGTGACTGCGAAGGTCGGAAGTCAGATCACTGGGTTCATAATCTAAAATGAAGCACTGAGAAAGTAAAAAAAAATATATTCTTGAAGGGGAATATCTGAAGTATGAGATAACAAATGACAACATGACGGATCTAAGGAAGTAGCTGTTAATTTTGTCCCAAAGGTGCTTTGTCAGGAGGCAACTGGACTTTCTTATTTTAATTTGAAGACCTTTCGATTCTCATCCAAGAAGCTTCTTCAGCTCTGACTAGGTCAGTGGTTCTCAACCTGTGGGTCAGAACCCCATTTGGGATCGAACGACCATTTCATGGGGGTCGCCAAACAATGCAGTCTGCCATCTTTTCCCCCCTTTTCCTTAGCTGTGCTACTCTCTTTTATTCTATTGGCTTTTGAAAGTCAATAGAATAGACTCTCTTGAGCCCGCCAAAAGTCCCATTCTACAAACGGTGCTGCACCAGTTGAGTAGTCCTCGACTTACGACCGGTTGAGTAGTCCTCGACTTACGACCGGTTGGGGGTCGCGGCATTAAAAAGGTTGAGAACCACTGGACTAGATGGTGGGAAATGGAAGGACTTATACTCCTCGCAGACAGCTGGTCGTTTGCATTCTTTTAGAGAGCTGATGGGGCCATTTGGAGGTTTACCTATGTCTTCAGGGTCACCTGAGTAATGCAAATGTGTGTGGAGCCTTCTTGGCTGCAAGATGTCTTCAAAGAAAAATAAGGAAGTCCAGTTGCCTCCTGAAAAAGCACCTTTGGGACAACCATGACCTGGATGACTGAGAATCTCCATAGACATTTAGCTGTTAATTTCTTCCCTTGCTTGGAGAAGATAGGATTAACTCCTTCCTGTATACAGGAGATGAGATCTGGTTGGGGAGAAATATTTGGCTAACTCTGTCTTCTCCATGTTTGAAGGCTGAGTAGGGGACTCTTACCCAGAGAGGCCACATTCTGAGAATTCTCCAGCATGACTTCCTCATGGAGGGCTTTCTGGTGGGCATCCATCTGAGACCATTCCTCCTCAGAAAAATACACCGCCACATCCTCGAAGGACACGAGACCCTGAACAAGGAAACAAATTTCTCTATTAACAGACAAGGGAGGATTTAGAAGTTCACAAATCCTATAAGGGGACATCTGCAATGAGTGAAAGATGAGGATGTAACATCCTATGTAAGAAAATGGGCCAAGTTCAAAGGCTCTCACTGAAGGCTATAAAAAAAGATGTTGAGACTCTAGAAAAAGTGCAGAGAAGAGCAACAAAAATGATTAGGGGACTGGGGGCTAAAACATATAAAGAATGGTTGCTGGAATTGGGCATGTCTAGTTTAATGAAGTTTAAACTTAGTTTAATGAAAAGAAGAACTAGGAGTAGCATGATAGCAGTGGTCCAATCTCTCAGGGGCTGCCCCAAAGAAGAGGGGGTCAAGCTATTCTCCAAAGCACCCAAGGGCAGGGCAAGAAGCAATGGATGGAAACTAATCAAGGAGAGAAGCAACGCAGAACTAAGGAGAAACTTCCTGACAGAACAATTAACCAGTGGAACATCCTGCCTCCAGAAGCTGTGAATGCTCCAACCCTGGAAGTTTTTAAGAAAAGACTGGACAGCCATTTGTCCGAAATGGTGTAGGGTTTCCTGCCTGAGCAGGGGATTGGACTAGAAGATCTACAAGGTCTCTTCCAACTATGTTATACTATTCTATTCTAAGGTGAGGGCCAATCGTATCTCCACAGGGATGATGTATCACAGGGAGGAAGCCTATCACAGAGAAGGCCCTTCTTCTTGATCCTATCAGATGGACCTCCATAAGAGGGGGGAACCAGAACGTTCCCTACCTCACCGCTCTGGAGGGTCAGGTAGATGTAACAGGAAGAGACGGTCTTTTAGATAACCTGATCCCAAGCTACGTACAGCTTTAAAGGTGACAACCAGCACCTTGAATTGCACCTGGAAGCAAATTGGCAGCCCATTCAGCTCCCACAGTAGGAATGACACATATGTACACCTGGGTCTGCACAAAACCATGTGGGCCGCTGCATTTTGGATCAACGTGAGCCTCCGGATGCTTTTCAAGGGCAATCTTATGTACAACACATTGCAATGGTCCTGATGGGAGGTCACTAGGGCTTGAGTGATTGTGAGCAAGGATTGTTGAACACATATTCCTGGTTCTTTTTTTCAGTGTTTTAAAAATAACGATGGCAAACCACCTTTTGCACAAGATAAAAGTTCTGGATTTCTGGGAAAACATGAATTCAATTTTCTCTTTAAGAATCTCTCAGCATAGGTATTTTCTTTCCTGATTTCCACAGTAACCTTGAGACTTGAGTTATGATGAGCTTATGATTTCAACTTTACCCGTTTTTTTTTAATTAAAAAAGTTTTTTATTTTTCATTTATTCATACAAAATACAATTAACCATTGGTACCGCCTGCCCATTCCCCCCAGGCTGCGTCCACCCTCTCTAAACCTTCCCTACTTCCCTCCTCTTTCTCTCCTCCCCTCCTATTCTCTTCCCCTCCCCATCTCCTCTAACCATCCTACTTCCTCCCTACTCCTTCCTCCCCTCTCATCCCTCTCACACACATGAACGCAGCATAGGGCAAATGCCCAAGCATTTGCCATAACTATATTATCATTACCCACCCACTCACCCACCCACCCACCCACCCTCAACCCTCCCCCCTCGCTTCCCAGAGCAGAATACAGGGTTATTATTAAGAAAGGAAGAAACAATAATAAAAAAAGAAAAAAGAAAAAAAGAGAAAAGAAAATAAAAGAGAAAAAAAACATCATACTTAACCTTTAACTCCCTTAAATTAAGTCATATAAACAAATCTCTACAACAGTTACTATAAAATTTACTTATAAAATAAATGAAACTTTATAGTCCCATATTTTTTCTGAATATAATCTATCCATCTTCTCCATACAATAATATATTTTTCTTGTGTATGATCCTTCAAATAAGCAGAAATTTTTGCCATTTCTGCAAAGTTAGAGACTTTAAATATCCATTCTTCTAAAGTAGGCAACGAGTCCTTCTTCCAATACGAGCCTACTAATAACCTTGCTGCAGTTAATAAATTCAACATTAAAGTAGTTTCTTTGTCATTTAAATCCACAAAGATACCCAATAGGAATAATTGAGGGGTGAACTTTATCTTCCTTTTAAAAATCTTTTGAATGTTCCACCAAATCATAATCCAAAAAGCCTTTACCTTTTTACAATTCCACCAAACATGAAAATATGTCGAACTTTACCCGTTTTGTGTGCTTAGGACCTGCCGTGCTAAATGTGGAGCCACAGAACAATTAAACCCTCAATTTCCCATTTCATGTGATTGAAATAGTCTACACAGAAGTCCAGAAATCTTGATAGGGTCCCTTGTCTACCTCAAAGCTGCTTTTTCAAAAGGCATCTGGACTTCATTTTTCCTTGAAGACGTTTCGCTTCTCATCCAAGAAGCTTCTTCAGTTCTGACAGAAATTTCTTGGATGAGAAGCGAAACGTCTTCAAGGGGGGGGGGGGGAAAAAAAGTCCAGTGGTCTTTTGAAAAAGCACCGGTGGGACCACCATGACCTGGATGACTGAGAATCTCCATAGATGTCCTGTCTGCCACCATTTGGAGGCAGAGTTTGGTAGAAGTCTCCAATCGGGTTATGGATAGAGAAAAATTTACTCTCTTCTCTTCAAAGTGCTTTTTTTTTTAATACCATATATGCCGGCGTACAAGGCGATCCGGCGTATAAGACGACCCCCGTCTTTGGCACCGATTTTAGCGCTCGCGGAAGTCGCCTTATACGCCGGCATATACAGTACTAAGAGCATGCAGAAGGAGCAAAGAAACTTGCAAGGGGTTCACCTGAAAACAAATCCTGTAGTAGCCAAGCAGCAGATCTTTTCATAACAATTCAGCTTGAGCGGGGGTTGGACTAGATCAGGGGTAGGCAACCTTGGCTCTTTTATGACTCGTGGACTTCAGGCTCAGGAATTCTGGGAGTTGAAGTCCACGAGTCATAAAAGAGCCAAGGTTGCCTACCCCCAGACTAGATGTCCAAGATTCCTTCCAACTTTATCTATGGAGGTTCTCAGTCATCCAGGTCATGGTTGAAACAGGGGTTTGATGGAAGGGTCAAAGAGGCCATCTATGTCAAAATTCAACAGCCCTCTCTCAACAGACTGGGAGGGATATGACACCATTTCCAGTCTATAGTCCTTTGAGCAGTTCCAAGAAGCCTGCACACCCATTTGACCCTGAGGACACAGATAAACCTCCAAATGGCCTCAACGACTCTCTAAATCAGTGGTTCTCAACCTTTTTAATGCCGCGACCTCCAACCAGTCGTAAGTCGAGGACTACTTAACTGGTCATAAGTCAAGGACTACTCAACTGGTGCAGCACTGTTTGCAGAATGGGACTTTTGGCGGGCTCAGCAGGGCAGAGACAGCCTGGACAATTCCTATTGGCTTTGGAAAGCCAATAGAATTAGACTCTATTCAAGAGAGTCTAATCTATTGGCTTTCAAAAGCCAATAGAATAAAAGAGAGTAGCACAGCTAAGGAAAAGGGGAAAAAAAATGGCGGACTGCGTTGTTTGGCGACCCCCGTGAAATGGTCGTTCGACCCCAAATGGGGTCCCGACCCACAGGTTGAGAACCACTGCTCTAAAAGAAGGCAAATGACCAGCTGTCTGCAAGGAGTATAAAGCCTTCCGTTCCCCACCATCAAGCCAGAGCTGAAGAAGCTTCTTGGCTGAGAAGCGAAATGTTTTCAAGAGAAAAAAACGCAAGAAAGTCAGGTTTCCTTTTGGAGCGGCACCTATGGGATACGGTCCCTTTCATCTCCTGAGATTTGTTCTGCTACCTGAGCTGTGGGCTCAGCCCTGCTTTCGGTTCCAGCAGAAGAAGATGGCCGCATGAATACAAATGAGGTGGTTCTGTTCCCTGTGAAGGAGACAAAAGCAATAAAGGAAGGATTTTTAAAAACCTAACAAATAAAATAAGGAAAGAGATTATTCCCAAGGGGAGCCAGGACGTTCACATTGCTTGGAAGGACCCTCTCTTACCTTCTGAAGTGCCCCGATATGGATCTTCTTTTGAAAAGTGTCCGAGAAGCAGATCCTTAGAGGAAACTTCTCTTTCTAGATTTTCAGGGATGACAGCCCAGGGGGACTCCTGCTGCTGAAAAGGAAGAAAGGAGAAAAAGAAATTGAAGATAGGAGAAAAAGGAAAAGAGGGTTAAATGGACCAACAGAGAAGAAGTAATGGATATTTCTCAATCCACAATGCTTCTATACCAGTGGTTCTCAACCGGTGGGTCGGGACCCCATTTGGGGTCGAACGACCATTTCACGGGGGTCGCCAAACAACGCAGTCCGCCATTTTTTCCCCCTTTTCCTTAGCTGTGCTACTCCCTTTTATTCTATTGGCTTTTGAAAGCCAATAGAATAGACTCTCTTGAATAGAGTCTAATTCTATTGGCTTTCAAAAGCCAATAGGAATTGTCCAGGCTGTCTCTACCCTGCTGAGCCCGCCAAAAGTCCCATTCTGCAAATGGTGCTGCACCAGTTGAATAGTCCTCGTCTTACGACCAGTTGAGTAGTCCTCGACTTACGATTGGTTGGGGGTCACGGCATTAAAAAGGTTGAGAACCAATGTTCTATACTTTATATCAGGGTATCAAGCTGGTGGCCCACGGGCCGGACCTGTCACCGCACCCACCCCATTGCCGGCAATGGGGAAAAAGCTCCGATACGTCACGCGATGTCACGAGTTCAACATGTCTGCTTTATCTCCATCAGTGGAGATGGAAACTAAGAAGGGAACCGTTGCCCCAAATGGAAGAAATGAACGATCGGCCGTAAGAGTTTATTTATTGTTACATTTTTAAAATCATCCATCAGCTGAAGTTTTTGTGGCAGTTTACAGTAGAAGAGAAACACGGGTGTTCTTAATGTTTAAAAGGCCAGAAATCCTTACCACAGAAACATAGAAAACTGAGGTCTTTGGAGATTCTCAGTCATCCAGGTCATAGTTGTCCCAAAGATGCTTTTTCACGAGGCAACTGGACTTTCTTTTTTTCTCTTTGAAGACGTTTCGCTTCTCATCCAAGAAGCTTCTTTAGCTCTGACCGGATGGTGGGGAATGGAAGGATTCATTCTCCTTGCAGATAGCTGGTCATTTGCATTCTTTTAGAGCAGTGGTTCTCAACCTTTTTAATGCCGCGACCTCCAACCGGTTGTAAGTCGAGGACTACTCAACCAGTCGTAAGTCGAGGACTACTCAACTGGTGCAGCACCGTTTGCAGAATGGGACTTTTGACGGGCTCAGCAGGGCAGAGACAGCCTGGACAATTTCTATTGGCTTTTGAAAGCCAATAGTATTAGACTCTATTCAAGAGAGTCTATTCTATTGGCTTTCAAAAGCCAATAGAATAAAAGGGAGTAGCACAGCTAAGGAAAAGGGGGAAAAAATGGCGGACTGCGACGTTTGGCGACCCCCGTGAAATGGTCGTTTCGACCCCAAATGGGGTCCCGACCCACGGGTTGAGAACCACTGTTTTAGAGAGTTGTTGAGGCTACTTAGAGGTTTGTTGTAAACCACCAAGTGGCCTCAACGACTCTCTAAACGAATGCAAATGACCAGCTGTCTGCAAGGAGTATAAATCCTTCTATTCAGCACCATCCAATCAGACCTGATGAAACTTCTTGGATGAGAAGAGAAACATCTTCAAAGAAAAACAAGGCGGTCCAGTTGCCTTGTGAAAAAGCATCTTCGGGATGGAAAACTGATGGCGGAAGAAGACCTAGTGGTCCATGGAGCTTGCCTTTTAAGTGGTATGTATGCATGTAAATATATATATAGGTATGTATGAATGTGTTTATGTTAGTTGATAGAAATATGTTTTTCCCAAGCACGTTTAATGATTATATGGGTAATCCTTGATTTACAATAGTTCATTTAACAACTGTTCATAGTTACAACGGCACTACAATAAGAGACGTATGACTGTTTTTTCACACCTGATCAAAATTTGGCAACTGGCTCGCATTTACGACGATGATTGCAGTGTCCCGGGGTCACGTGATCCCCTTCTGCGACCTTCCGACAAGCAAAAATCAATGGGGGAATCCAGATTCACTTTAACAATCTTGTTACTCACTTAACAATTACAGCAAGAAAGTGATAAAATGGGGCAAAACCCACTTAACAAATGACTCGCTTAGCAACAGACATTTCAAGCTCAATTGTGGTGGTAAGTTGAAGACTGCCTGTATATCGTTTCTCCTATTTGGACCCATCTTGAGATTCCAAGATGAAGACGTCTACCTGCAGGTTTTCCTGCTGCTTCTTCTCCACCTGGGCCATGAGGAAGCCTTCCGCCAGGGCCACCGCTTGGGAGCTGGTCTCTGCTCCACACTCCCGCACCCAGCTCCCCATCTCAGGGGGCAGGAGGGCCAGGAAATGCTTTAGGACCACCAGGTCCAGCATCTGCGCCTTGGTGTTCCTTTCTGGCTGCATCCATGCATGGCAGACTTGGTGGAATCGGTTGCAAAGTCCTCGGGGATACTCAGCCTCCTGGTATTGGAGCCTTCTGAAGTTGCAGGGCTGAACTTCTGAAGGGAGGATGGTTTCCTCCTCCAGGATCTTCTGTCCAGTGCTTGCCCAGATGTCCCCACAGTCCCCAAGCTGAATGGCAGAAGGACCTTTTCCAGTTGCCTCCCTTGCTAACAGTTGTGTCTCCATCTTCCTCTGTTCTCCAACACGGCTTTAAATGGGGCTGCAGATCTTGTCACTCTCTCGTTCATGAGATATTTTTGTATCTAGGCAAGGAGACCACGTGCTTCTGACCTATACATCTGCAACGGAAAAGCACAGAGAATGTAACAAGTGATATTTTAATCTTTTAACATCTCCCTGCAAAAAGTCAGAAGAAGGATTCTTTTGAGCTGGAATAGGGACTGCATTAGGAAGATGGATGTGATTTTATCTGCTAATGTTTTTATCTGCTGTATTTTTTATAATGGATGATTTCAATGTCTTTCAATGTTTTTATGTCGTAAGCTGCCCAGTGCCATTTGTTACAAGATGGGCAGCAAATAAATTTCATAAACAAATAATACAATAACACTTAGACTTATATACTGCTTCGCAGTGCTTTACAACTCTAATTTACAGTCACAGAGTCAGCATATTACCTCCAACAATATTTTACCGATCTCGGAAAGATGGAAGGCTGAGTCTACCTTGAGCCGGTGAGAATCAAACTGCTGGCAGTAGGCTGAATTAGCCTGCAATACTGCATTCTAACCAGTGCGCCACCACGGCTCTTCAAATAAATATGATGGGGTCAAAATATGAATCATCTCAATACAGGTAGTCCTTCTTTAATGAGCACAAGTGATACCGTAACTCCGCCATTAAGTGAAGCAGTTGCTAAGGAAAACAGATGCTCTTATCCCAGCTTTCCTTTGCTTTACAGACCTGTGAAGGATGCAAATGCGAGGACTGCTCACAAAGTTACTTCTTCATCCCTGTTCAGCAGTCATATCCATGGATTTGGGATATGGCTGCAGCTTTCTCTTCCTCACAGTCGGTGCAATTGTAGCATTTCCTTTGCAAGAGAACAGATGTTGAGACTTTGGAGAAAAGTGCACAGAAGAGCAACTAAGATGATTAAAGGCCTGGAGGCTAAAACATATGAAGAACGGTTGCAGAAATTGGTATGGCCAATCTAGAGAAAAGAAGGATTAGGGATGACATAATGGCAGTATTCTACTATTTGAGGGGCTGCCAAAAAGAAGAGGGGATCAACTTTTTCAAAGCACCAAAGGGCAGGACAAGAAGCAACGGAGGGAAACTGATCAAGGAGAGAAGCAACCTGGAATTAAGGAGAAACTTCCTAACAGTGGGAACAATGAACCAGTGGAACAGAAGTTGCCTTCAGAAGTTGTGCGTACTTCATCACTGGAGGTTTTTAAGAAGAGATTGCACAGCCACTCGCCTGAAATGATATATGGTCTCCTGCTTGAGCAGTTGGACTAGAAGATTAGGCAAGAAAAACCAAATGCACAGGTATAGTATAGGGGGTACCTTGCTCAATAGTAGTAACTGTGAGAGGGACCTCGGAGTCCTAGTGGATAATCCCTTAAATAGGAGCCAGCCGTGTGCTGCAGCTGCTAAAAAGGCCGACACAGTGCTAGGCTGCATTAACAGAGGGATAGAATCCCTCTTTACAATGCCTTGGTGAGGCCACACTTGGAATACTGCATCCAGTTTTGGTCACCGCGATGTAAAAAAGATGTTGAGACTCTAGAAAGAGTACAGAGAAGAGCAACAAAGATGATTAAGGGACTGGAGGCTAAAACATATAAGCAACGGCTGCTGGAATTGGGTATGTCTAGTTTAAAGAAGAGAAGGACGAGGGGGAACATGATAGCAGTTTTCCAATATCTCAGGGGTTGCCACAAAGAAGAGGGAGTCAAGCTATTCCCCAAAGCACCTGAAGGCAGGACAAGAAGCAATGGATGGAAACTAATCAAGGAGAGAAGCAACCTAGAACTAAGGAGAAATTTCCTGACAGTGAGAACAATTAACCAGTGGAACAACCTGCCTCCAGAAGCGGTGAACGCTCCAACACTGGAAGTTTTTAAGAAGAGACTGGACAGCCCTTTGTCCGAAATGGTATAGGGTTCTTGCCTGAGTAGGGGATTGGACTAGATGACCTCCAAGGTCCCTTCCAACTTTATCATTATTATTATTACATATGAAGAACAGTTACACAATTACAGCAATCAGCCAATGGAATAGCTTGCCTCAGAGGTTGTGGATGTTCCATCACTAATGGCTCTCAAAAGAGATTGGATAATCATTTGTCTGAAATGACTGAACAGGGGGTTGGACTAGATGACCTCCAAGGTCCCTTCCAACTTTATTATTATTATTATTATTATTATTATTATTATTATTATTATTATTATTATTATTAAGACCTCCAAGGTCCTTTCCGTCTCTATTCTGACTGACGTATTGATGAAGTGGTTGCTAAGCGAAACGGACTGTGCTGATGTTCTTATCCCAGCTTTCCTTTGCTTTACAGACCTGTGAAGGATGCAAATGTGAGGACTGGCCACAAAGTTACCATGTTAGCAGTCACATCCATGGATTTGGGACACGGATGCAGTTTTCTCATTCTCAGCCTGGGTGCAATTTTTAGCATTTCCTCTGGAAGGGAACAGATCTTCAGCCACTTCTTTGAAATGGTATACGGTCTCCTGCCTGAGCAGGGGGCTGGACTAGAAGCCCTCCAAGGTCCCTTCCAATCTATTATTCTGAGGAGGAGGAGGAGGAGGGGAGAGGAGTCTCCTGCTTCAGCAGGGGGCTGGACTAGAAGACCTCCAAGGTCCCTTCCAATCTATTATTCTGAGGAGAAGGAGGGGAGAGGAGTCTCCTGCTTCAGCAGGGGGCTGGACTAGAAGACCTCCAAGGTCCCTTCCAATCTATTATTCGGAGGAGGGGGGGAGAGGAGTCTCCTGCTTCAGCAGGGGGCTGGACTAGAAGACCTCCAAGGTCCCTTCCAATCTATTATTCTGAGGAAAAGGAGGGGAGGAGTCTCCTGCTTCAGCAGGGGGCTGGACTAGAAGACCTCCAAGGTCCCTTCCAATCTATTATTCGGAGGAGGAGGAGGAGGGGGGAGAGGGGTCTCCTGCTTGAGCAGGGGGCTGGACTAGAAGACCTCCAAGGTCCCTTCCAATCTATTATTCTGAGGAGGAGGAGGGGAGGAGTCTCCTGCTTCAGCAGGGGGCTGGACTAGAAGACCTCCAAGGTCCCTTCCAATCTATTCTGATTGATTGATTGGCACCAGGGGGGCTCCTGGGGTCCTCCCTCCAAGCAGCCAGACTAAGCCAGGCATTTTGCCTGAATGCAGCCTCCTTTGCTACGAAACGTCCAGTCTCCCTGCTGCAATTCTGCAATCGCTTCCTCTCCGCGCAGGTTTCCCCCATCCATGCATGCAATGGGGCGGCAGGGGAACATGGGACCCCGGGCTTCCCTCCCCCTCCTCTTCCCCGGGACTCAGCACTTGGGAGGGGGAGAGATCGCACCCTCTCCGTCTCCAGCGCGACGTGATCCCCCTTCCCGCGTGGAAAGCTTCCCCCCACTCACCGCGATTCCCCGTCCTTGCCAAACTTTCCTCGCAGCCGCGTTCGCCTCCCTGCGGGACAAAAGCGGTTAAAACGAGCGAGCGCAGCGTCCTAGAGAGGCCACGCTTTGGCGGACGTCGCTCCGCCTCTGGGCTGGGCGTGTGACCCTCGGACGGTCCAAGCAGCTGCGCCCTGGGTAAAGATGGAGGGTCGGGCAGCCTCCGAGCTTCGGGAGGGAGCGGAGCATGCGCAAGAGACCCGCTGGTGGACTTAAGCAGGAAATGGCGTCCCCAGACGGGAATAGGAGCTTAGGAAGGCGGGTGGGGGAGCAATCCCGTGTCCCATGTTCCCCTGCCACCCTTTTTCCACGCTCAAGCCAGGCAATGGGGCTCTGCTCATCTGAATACGGAGGCCTTCTTGGGTTGGGGAAGGGATGCAGATGGGGCGAAATGTCCTCTTAAGGTCCACCTTCTGAGTCCTGGGAAGCGGGTAGCCCGGGACCCATGTTGCACTGCCACCCTCTTTCATGCATTGGGGGGGGGGGGAAGCAAAGCCCAGATCCATCACTTTGCTCCCAAGAAGGAAGTGGAGGAGATCTGGGTGGAGGGAAGACCCTCTTAACCCCCAATTCCTGGGAAAGGACTGCCTGGTTTATTGGTTCCGATATTGCATTTAAGGGGGACACTGACAATGGGATTTTTGAGGGTGGAGGTTCCTTCTTGTGGATTAGTTTCTGAATTTTTTTGTTGACCAGGAATCCCATGATAGCTTTGATGGTTGCCTCAGAATGCCTTTAGGGCAGTGGTTCTCAACCTTTTTAATGCCGTGGCCCCCAACTAGTCGTAAGTTGAGGACTACTCAACTGGTCGTAAGTCGACGACTGCTCAACTAGTGCAGCACCGTTTGCAGAATGGGACTTTTGGCGGGCTCAGCAGGGCAGAGATAGCCTGGACAATTCCAATTGGCTTTTGAAAGCCAATAGAATTAGACTCTATTCAAGAGAGTCTCTTCTATTGGCTTTCAAAAGCCAATAGAATAAAAGGGAGTAGCACAGCTAAGGAAAAGGGGGAAAAAATGGCGGACTGCGTTGTTTGGTGACCCCCGTGAAAGGGTCGTTCGACCCCAAATGGGGTCCCGACCCACAGGTTGAGAACCACTGCTTTACAGTCATGGAAAGATCAGAAATGAGGAGGTGATAAGCCGCCTGGGAAAGCCAAGGGAAATCATCAAAACAATTAAAAAACGAAAATTAGAATATTTCGGACATGTAATGCGACACCCAGAAAAATAGGGCACACTCCATTTAAACCTTCAGGGAAAGACTGAAGGCAAATGAGGTCCAGGCAGAAGAAGAATATCATGGCTTCAAAATCTAAGGGACTGGTTTGGACAAAACTCAGCAGCACTTTTTCGTGCGGCTGCTGATAAAAACAGGATCACCAACATGATTGCCAATGTCCGATAATGGATTTGGCACAAGTGTAAGAACGTCCTAGCTGCGCTTCACAAAAGCCAAGAGACAGGAACGTTGCAGCATTCAACAAGTTTAATACACTATGTTGAAACGAAGTTAGCATTGGAAGGGACCTCCTTCCAGTGCCCTAAATACACCACACCACCACGCCCATAGTACACACCCCAATTACTACTCGTAATTAGATTCCACCCGCGCCGTGCCCAATAACCTCCCGTGATTAAACTCCATCCGCACCACGCCCAATCCCAGCTAATACTCACACCCCATTAATACATTGATTCCAAATGCTGCGCTTTCGCTGTTCTCATTCCAACCGTAATAGTAACCCCAACAGAATTAATACCATTCCGCCCTACTACCCAGTTCCCTGTTCCAGTGTCCATGCTTGTCAGACCCAGCGACCTCAGCCCTATCAGCAACAAACAACATCTAGTCAAATCGGCCCCTCTCGCTCCCTATCATGGCGTAGCAACCAGCCGGGTGTTCCTGCCGATGTCAGATGGTCACATGACCGCTCGGCTGCCGGTCCGGGAATCCCAGCACCAACTCCGTAGCTGTGATGGCGGTGCAGCACACGGAGCCACCGGACCCGACTGGGAGCACATGGACCGTCCACTGTTTTCCGACCTGGCGATGGGCTATCGGAAGGTGGGTAGCACGCTGGGTCTGACAACAACAAGAAGAAGGAATGTCCCTGAGGTACCACCCAATGTCCTTGGCATCCCACAAGGAAGGTGGTTGACTATTGGAATCCTAGCGGATGATCATTTAACATGAACCAGCAGTGTGTGGCTAGCAGGCAAAAAAGCTAATACAAATACAATCTTTGATTGTATAAACAGGCATAGAATCAAAATCATGTGTATTAGTACCGCTTTATAAAGCCTTAGTAAGAACGCATCTGCATCCAGTTTTGCTCACATTACAAAAAAGATGTTGAGACTTTGGGAAAAGTACAAAGAAGAGCAACTAAGATGACTAAAGGCCTGGAGACTAAAACATGAAGAAGGGCTGCAGGATTTGAGTTTGGCTAGTCTAGAGAAAAGAAGGACTAGGCGGGGGGGGGGAGACATTCTCCAGAGCACCCAAGGGTAGGACAAGAAGCAATGGATGGTTATATAAAAGTTAATAATTTTATACATTTTGTTTCTCGCTTGTGGCATTTCAACCCAGACCAGGGAGTCTTAATTCAACCCAAAGGATCACCGGGCAAACAGAAAGAATCCTGGGTGGAGGTTTGGCCTCTCTTAGGATATTGCAGAGTATCATTTTAATGGCACCTCTGTTGCAATCATAGACATCACAAGGGCTCCCTGCAATAGGGAATGCAAGACAGTCCACTATGCCACATTTAACCATCTTTTGGGGACAAATCTACCTCAGTAAAACTCTACTTTTGCCCCAAATCCTGCATCCTTTAAAATAGTCTTCCCTGTGGAATCCTACCTCATTTGCCTTTAGTGCATTCTGAATGCTGCAGATGACCATCTTTTAAAATGCCTGGAGGCATGGGCAAGTATACAACAATAAAGCTGGAATTCCAAAGATGCTTTTTCACAAGGCAACTGGACTTTCTCCTTTTTCCTTCAAAGACATTTTGCTTCTCATCCAAGAAGCTTTTTCAGCTCTGATTGGATGGTGGGGAATGGAAGGATTTATACTCCTTGCAGACAGCTGGTCATTTGCATCCTTTTAGAGTCATTGAGGCCACTTGGAGGTTTATTTGTGTCCTCAGGGTCACCTGAGTAGTACAAACGGGGTGTGGAGCCTTTTTGGAACCGCTAAAAGGACTATAGACTGGAGATAGATGATGTCGTATCCCTCCCCTCTATTGAGAGAGATCTGTTCAATGACATGGATGGCCTCTTTGACCCCCTCTTTCAAATCCATCTTTCAACCATGACCTGGATGACTGAGAATCTCCATAGACAAATAAAGGAACCTTGGACATCTAGTCCAACCCCTGCTCAAGCAGAATTGTTATGAAAAGATCTGCTGCTTGGCTACAAGATTTGTTTTCCGTCATACCCTTGTAAGTTTATGGAGATTCTCAGTCAAAGAGGCCATATATGTCAAAACTGAACTCACAACAGAGGGGGAAGGATATGACGTCATTTATCTTCAGTCTACAACACAGATAAACCTCCAAGTGGCCTCAGTGACTCTAAAAGGATGCAAATGGCCAGCTGTCTGCAAGGAGTATAAATCCTTCCATTCCCCACTATCCAGTCAGAGCTGAAGAAGCTTCTTGGATGAGAAGCGAAACGTCTTCAAAGAAAAACAAGGAAGTTCAGTTGCCTGGTGAAAAAGCATCTTTATGAGCTTTTCCCTATTGTGCATGCTCTTGGTATTAAAAAAAAAAAAAAGCATTTTAAAGAGAAGGGAGTAAATTTTTCTCTATCCAAAACCAGATTGGAGACTTCTGCCAATCTTTGCTCCCAAATGGTGGCAAATTAACATGGAGTCTGATATCACCTTTAAAACTATCCAACTTTATTAGGACATCAGCTTCATTAGGACAGAACAGATTCATCATTAACAGGACTTGTAAAAGAAAATTGGGGGGGGGGGATATCAGCCTTCCTGCTCAGATGAGACTAAGTCAGAACTTTAGCCATGCCTCCCTCTGGGAGTGTCTTCCCAGTTATTGATGAGGCAAAGCACCAATGACGAAGTCTGACGCAATGGCTCCACTAATATGACACCTGCCTAGACCGACCTTAAGGGTGTTCAGGTAAGACAACGCCCCTTCTCCAGCATGATGAGTGTAGAATCCACCAGTGGGTAATCTCAGCCTTCCTGCTCAGATGAGACTAAGCCAGACCTTTAGCCATGCCTCCCTCTGGGAGTGTCTTCCCAGTTATTGACTTAGTCTCAGCTCAGTAGGACGCAATTTAGATTGGCACCTCAGTTAGTCTAAGTTAATTTCTTTTTGGATAAGATTGTAATGTAACTGAGTTTTCTTTAGTATTGTAGCTCTTCTAAATTGATTCCAAATTGCTTGTTAGTTTAGATTGGCTTTTAGGATTAATAAAAAAAAACCTCATAGCTGTGGATTAGGCCTCTCAGGCTTTAACAAGCCTCGTAGGCTCCAGACGAGCCGAAATCAGGCCGTTTTCAAGTGGCTTCAACTCCGTTCTAGCTGATTGGCGCACAATATACACAATATACAAAGCAATATCATGATTTACAAGGGTTTAGCCTTGCAAGCTCTGTTAATTCAAGCTTAGGCTCTGCCTGGGGGCTGAGTTCACACAATACAAAATCACATGGAGCAGAAATATCTGTAAATATTTATTCATTTTACTGCCTAATTACATTTTTCTGTTATTAGGCAGCTAAATGAGTAAGATTTAAAGACATTTCTGCTCCATGTGATTTTGTACTAATTAGTACCTTAGTACCTTTTAATACTAGATGTTGAGACTCTAGAAAGAGTACCAAGAAGAGCAACAAAGATGATTAGGGGACTGGAGACTAAAGCATATAAGGAACGGTTGCTGGAATTGGGTATGTCTCGTTTAATGAAGAGAAGGACGAGGGGGGACGGGATAGCAGTGTTCCAATATCTCAGGGACTGCCACAAAGAAGAGGGAGTCAAGCTATTTTCCAAAGCGCCTGAAGGCAGGACAAGAAGAGAGAAGCAACCTAGAACTAAGGAGAAATTTCCTGACAGAATAATCAGTGGAACAACCTGCCTCCAGAAGTTGCGAATTCTCCAACACTGGAAGTTTTTAAAGAAGAGATTGGACAACCATTTGTCTGAAATGGTATAGGGTTTCCTGCCTGAGCAGGAAACTAGACCTCCAAGGTCCCTTCCAACTCTATTATTTTTGTTATTGTTTTTGTTATTATTATTATTGTTTAATCCTTATTCTCTTGTGTATCAGAAAGAAACTCATGAGAAATTTAAGGCACAAACCCTCCAAGGTTTGAAAGATTGAGTATGTATGAACTGAAGCAAATAAATCTAGTATTTCTATGGATTAGGAGCCCAGTGGATCCTTTTATGAGAAGTAAGGTGACTCTCCTGGTGGAATTCCTTTCCACACATCATGCATCTATATGGTTTCTCTCGCATGTGGATCCTGTAATGTGAATTAAGGTTACTACTATTCGCGAAGCTCCTCCCACACTCCGTACATCTGTAGGGTTTCTCCCCTGTGTGGATCCTTTTATGGGAAGTAAGGGATCCATTTTCACGGAATGTCCTTCCACATTCCAGGCATTTGTATGGTTTTTCACCCGTGTGGATCCTTTTATGGGAAGTAAGGGATCCATTTTCACGGAATGTCTTTCCGCATTCCAGACATTTATATGGCTTTTCCCCTGTGTGGATTGTTTTGTGAGAAAAGAGATTACTTCTCTGACTGAAGCTTTTTCCACACTCCAGGCATTTATAGGGATTCTCTCCCATGTGGATACTCTTATGGGAAGTAAGGCATCTAATTTCCTGGAAACATTTTCCACACTCCAAGCATTTATAGGGTTTCCCTCCTGTATGGATCCTTTTATGGCATGTAAGGAAAGTGTTCTCGCTGAATCTTTTTCCACACACTGTGCATTTGTATGGTTTCTCACCTGTGTGGACCCTTTTGTGGGAAATAAGCCGACAATTCCACCTGAAATTCTTTCCGCACTCCATGCACTTATAGGGTTTCTCAGCTGTGTGGATCCTTTTGTGGCATGCAAGGATACTGTTCTCAGTGAATCTCTTTCCACATTCTGTGCATTTGTATGGTTTCTCACCTGTGTGGATCCTTTTGTGGGAAATAAGCTGACTATTACACCTGAAATTCTTTCCACATTCCATGCACTTATAGGGTTTCTCACCTGTGTGGATCCTTTTGTGGGAAATAAGCCGACAATTCCACCTGAAATTCTTTCCACATTCCATGCACTTATAGGGTTTATCTCCCATACTGTCCCTTCCAGCTAAGGGAAGAATAAGGGTCCCACTGCAACCGTTTTCACCCTCTTTGTATCCATATTGTTGCGTAGAATGAGTTTTGTAATGTTTCTTTATATCTGATTTCTCTTTGAATTTTTTCACTCTGTTCCCCAAATATTCTTTGTTTTGTTGTTGCGCAGCAAAATTATTTCCACTCCTAACAGGCTGGAAAACTAAGCTTTCCTTATTTCCATGTTTTGATACATTTCTTCGGCAATATTTTGTTCCCTTCTGATTTGCGATTTGTTCTGCTCCCTTCACGGATTGGATTGTCTGGAGTGTTATCTCACAAGTCTTGTTCCGCTGCTCATTCAATCCTTAAAAGAAGAAGAAAGCAAGTTATGGCAAGGTACAAAAAAATAAAGTTTAAAGAATAAGAAGTGACTCTAAACATCCAGCTGGGAAGGTTGACCAAGACTAAGCAGCTTTTCGGAAGTCTGTTGTACTGATCAACATAAAAGACAATCTAAAGTTTATTGAATGCTGACTTTTGATAAAGATTATATCTATATAGGATCCATTGATTCTAACAGAAGAGAATCTATGCAGCACAGTTTAACTATGGCGTCCTTGGTGCTCTCTGAGGTTAGTAGTTTGTTGCATATGTTTATTACCCAACTAGTTAACTAGCTGTGATGCCGTTACCTAGTTAGGTAATGAAACATCTGCAACCAAACCATCAAGCTCAGAAAGCACCAAAAACTCCATGGATCATTGATCTTAAACCAAAAGCATATCAATGTTGTTACATTTTTTCCCCCTTCATTAATCAATTTTCCTTCCTTACATATTGCTATCAATTCTCAGCAACGTTCGTCTTCAAAGTCTTTTGGAAAGAAAGAAGGCATCAAGACCATCCAATTCTCTGGGAAAATACTATTGGTAATCCTTGACTTATGTCTGTAGCTTGCTGCAGTTGTAAGTCAAGATATCACATGACTGGTTTCCTGCCTGAGCAGGGGGTTGGACTAGATGACCTCCAAGGTCCCTTCCAAATATTATTATTGTTGTTGTTGTTGTTGTACCCAATTTTTCAGCAGCTTTTGCAACATTCACATAGACATGTTAAACAGCAATCCAAGAATAGCTCAAATGTTAGAATGTTTAGAACTGAGATTCTGTGAAATAGGAACTGTTTATTCCATGGAGGTCTGAAGGAGCAAACAAAAGTGTTCCTCCAGAAAGATTCACTGTTGATGAGGTAAAAGCATGTAACATCTTTTATGAGTCCCCAAATTGCATAGAAGTATTACATTTTCCTCTGGCAGAACAAGAGAAATAGAAAAAGGCTATGGATAAATAAATGTTGTCTACGCAAAAATATAAAGCTTTCACCTCAATGAGGTTATCAGAGGGACAAAAAGCTGTTGGGTGCAGATGGGTGTACAAAAAAAAAACTTTTGATGAATGATGAAATACAATATAAAGCAAGGTTAGTTGCTCAAGACCTACACAACAACATTGGTTAGGAATTAAAAGAATTCCTATTCTATTCTATTCTATTCTATTCTATTCTATTCTATTCTATTCTATTCTATTCTATTCTATTTTCTATTCTTTCCATATTCTACTCTACTCTACTCTACTCTACTCTACTCTACTCTACTCTACTCTACTCTACTCTATTCCATTCCATTCCATATTTTCTATTTCTATTTCTATTCTATTCTATTCTTTCCATATTCTACTCTACTCTACTCTATTCTATTCCATTCCATATTTTCTATTTCTATTTCTATTCTATTCTATTCTATTCTATTCTATTCTATTCTATTCTATTCCATTCCATTCCATTCCTATCCTATCCTATCTTATCCTATCCTGATCTTCTCTTCTCTCCTCTCTTATCCTCTCCTCTCCTCCTCTTCTCTTCATTCTTACTCTTATATTATTTAGTAGCTGGAGCAGTGGGGTTGGGCAGTGAGCCAGAATGCAGTTATATTTGATTCATTGGAGAGTGCTGGCTCCGGCGTGAGGTAATCTGTTCCGTGATTGGTTGCTGTGAGCGTGGAGGGGAAGTTTCCCTTTTCCCCCCGCCTTTTTCTTCTGTGCTCTATGTGCTCTGCAATTTACCTCATGGTGCTCCTGATTGCTTGACTATCTTGTCTGCTGTATAGATGTAAAATATATTTATTTTATATAAAACTGCAAGTTCCTGTCAGGGTCTCTGACTTCATTTGTACACCTGCTGTGCAATTCCTTGATCCTAACCTAATCATAAGAAAGGCTGAGTGCCAAAGAATTGAGGCCTTTGAACTCTGGTGCTGGAGAAGACTCCTGCGAGTCCCCTGGACTGCAAGGCGATCAAACTGGTCAGTCCTAGAAGAGATCAACCCCGACTGCTCTTTAGAAGGCCAGATCCTGAAGTTGAAACTCAAATACTTTGGCCACCTAATGAGAAGGAAGGACTCACTGGAGAAGAGCCTAATGCTGGGAAAGATGGAGGGCAAGAGAAGAAGGGGACGACGGAGAATGAGATGGCTGGATGGAGTCACGGAAGCAGTAGGCGTGAGCTTAAATGGACTCCAGAAGATGGTAGAGGACAGGAAGGCCTGGAGGAACGTTGTCCATGGGGTCGCGATGGATCGGACACGACTTCGCAACTAACAACAACAACAACAAACCTAAGCTACTGGCTTTGTCTCTTCCTAGGAGCAGAGCTATCTTTTACAGAGAAATAGCAAAATTCATCATATGACAAACGTCTCCTCTAAGTATCTGAGGGCCCAGCAGAGGTCCTTACCCAGAGAGGCCACATTCTGGGAATTCTCCTGCATGACTTCTCTATGAAGGGCTTTTTGGTAGGAATCCAGCTGAGACCATTCCTCCTCAGAAAAATGCACCGCCACTTCCTCGAAGGACACAAAACTCTCCTGAACAAGGAAAAACAGGAACATGTTAACAAACAGCTCAAGGAACTACTTGCCAACTCTCTTCCTTTGCTGACCAATCTTTAAAGCAGAGATCTCTGCACATGGGTGTTTCTAAAGGATGCAAAATATTTTATGAGGAAAGTGGCACGGAAGGCAGGCGTTGATCGATAAAACATTTGTGGCAAGGCTAAGAAACTTCACTGTTTTGTGGTGAAGAGGATGGGACTTCTGATGACGGCTAAATTAACTTCCTTGGTTAGAGTAAAAAGAACCCCTATGTTTAAGTTGCTCTTGGTAAATACACATTTATATTTAAAAAATACATTTTACTATTTCCGAAGGATTTTCAGTGACCTTCAGGGAAAAAATAATAATTATTCTGGATTGCCTCCAAATCCAGGCTGACCACTTCTCAGTGGCCACTTTTCCTGATCATTTGCTATTTTGATTTACGCAGACGGCTGTCTCAAATGCAGGACTCTGAGCGATTTGCAACCATTCAGAGTTGCTGAAGGATGTGCTGAAACATTTCTGTGTGACATTTTAGGCAGAGATAAATGCTCAAACCAATTAGATGTAAAAGAAAGAAATTTGGTGCTCGTGTACTTATTTTGAAGTCTCCACCGGGATTAGGTTTAACAACAACAACAAAAAAATATCTTCAGGGCACTCCTTTATGTATCAGATAAAAAAATCAAAATCAATCTTCATTATGGTCAGAAACAAGCATTTTTACTATATGTTTTTTCTTACGATCCTGTAGGCCAGTGGTGGCGAACCTATGGCACGGGTGCCAGAGACGGCACTCGGAGCCCTCTCTGTGGGCACACATACCGTTGCCCCAGCCTTGCCTACCCCCATGACCCTCTTCTCACCAGCAGTCCTCCTGGAGAAGAGTCAACCCCGAGTGTGGCCCACGTGGAACAGTGCAGCCCAGGACATGGCAGCCAGGCAGTGTAGACAAGACTCTGCCCTCACGGCCCATTGTGCACAGTTGATGCTGCGAGGCACAGGCAGAGGGCATGGCTGCCATGGCGCTGGGTGGGCCCTGAAGGTGTTGAGTGATCTGCGGTGGGCTCTGGAGGCAGTGAGTGGCCCTGTGGGCAGGCAGGATGGGGGCAGAGCGGGAGCGGGGTAGGAGGTAGAGCAGGGGGCAGGGCCAGTTTTTGGGCACTTGGGTCTCTAAAAGGTTCGCCATCACTGCTGTAGATCTTTAATTGGAAGTAGAGTGGGGGCAACTGGATGGAGCTGAGAGTTTACTGGCCGGATCCCCTTTCTGATGCCTGCATGGAGTGCACAGCAGATATTTTTCTTTGCGCCCTAAGAGAGAAACAACTGCTGCTATCTAGGATTGAACTCTTAACCTTCCGAGTGGGAGGTGAGTGTCTTCACCACTAGACCACCACACCGCTCTTTTACAAAATAATATTAAGTGATAAATTTAAGTAATGCCCCCAGTGCTAGCAGGAAATAAACTGTGATTGAACACATAAACAAATGATTGAAATACCGAACAAGGAATCTATGGCAAAAACGTCGGAACCATATAAACCAAAGTTAGAACATTAATGAGCAAGATCAAAGACATTAAATGAAGAATTTCAAAATCAAAAGCAATGATGTGTATTACAGCCAAATAGGGTAATGGGGTCATGTGTAAAGGAAGGGGGAAAAAAAACCAAAGCCCTAACCTTTTTGGTACATGCATCACATGTGGGCTATGATACCTTATCAGGGATTAACGCTCTTTCTCTCAACAGCTACACAAAATTGCCTCGGTAGCTTCTAGACCAGTGGTTCTCAACCTTTTTAATGCCGCGACCCCCCAACCGGTTGTAAGTCGAGGACTACTCAACCGGTCGTAAGTTGAGGACTACTCAACTGATGCAGCACCGTTTGCAGAATGGGACTTTTGGCGGGCTCAGCAGGGCAGAGACAGCCTGACAATTCCTATTGGCTTTTGAAAACCAATAGAATTAGACTCTATTCAAGAGAGTCTATTCTATTGGCTTGCAAAAGCCAATAGCATAAAAGGGAGTAGCACAGCTAAGGAAAAGGGGGAAAAAAAATGGCGGACTGCGTTGTTTGGCGATCCCCATGAAATGGTCATTCGACCCCAAATGGGATTCCGACCCACAGGTTGAGAACCACTGTTCTAGACCAACTTTTAAGTCATGTGGACTTCAACTCTCAGAATTCTGCAGGCAGCATAAAGGGATGATTTAGGAATATAGAAGTTTCGGTATAATGCTGTCAATACGTTGATGACCTGTTTCCCAACAGATAGTTGAGCAATTGAACTTTGACCAGAAGGGAGATGAGGGTAACTGGTCAAGGGCTGGATTCACATTTCCTCTTTCCATGTTGCGTAGAAGCAACAATATTATCTGTCAACCCCACAACCAATCAGGAGGCCTCAAAATGGTTCTCTGCAACTCTCTGAAGCTTCTCCTCCTACCTGAGCAGCTGATTCAGTTACTTGTTCAGCTCCATCAGTAGAATGAGATGATCCTAGAAATATCAATGAAACTGTTCTATCTTCTGTAAAGGAGACAAAAATGGTAGAAGAAGAGCTTTTAAAAGCAAAATTATGGATGAGAAGACCCAGACAATGAGAGGTACTTGTAATCTTTCTCTGGAATTTCACACCACTTGGAAGGAATCCATTCTTACCTGGTGAAGTGTCCTGATGTTGAACTTCCTCAGTGAACTTCGTAGAAAGGTGCTTCGGAGAGCAATTTGATGGATCTTGTATATCCCTGGAATGATCAGGGAATAAGTCCAAGAATGACTCCTGGAAGGAAAGTAGCAGGTAGAAAGAAAGAAGAATTCACATATCACGTCAGAAGAAAGAGTGAATTTTGTTCTCTCCTCACAACTCGGCAAAACTCCTGGTCCACGGTAGTAATAGTAACACCCCACACTTAAGAAATGTTGGTAAGAAAGACAAAAACAATTTGGATGGTGGATGTGGCTGTACCTGAAGAGAGCGGAATAGAAGAGAAAGAACTGGAGAAAATCACCAATTACAAAGATGCGCAAATAGAAGTAGAATGACTGTGGCAAAAGAAAGCAAAGATAGTAATAGGCTCCTTGGGTCCAATTCCAAAATATCTGCAGCACCACTTGAACACCACTGGAATGATAAAATCCTCATCAGTCAATTGCAAATTTGGAACAGCTTATATCCTACGAAGTTTCATTTAATATTCTTAAACAACAACATCTGCCTATCCCAGGTCCTTGGGAAGCATTTGGTAGGATGATAAAAAAAAAAAAACCAACCCAAATCCAGTCTAAATACCTGACTATGTGACCAACAATAATAATTTATTAAACTTGTATGCCACCTGACCCCCAACCATTCTGTGTGGCAAGTGGCAGAAGAACCAGTGTTAAGCATCTCTTCATATTGAAGAGATATTTAAGGACTCAAACACTGTTTGTAACATTAACACCCCCTTTAAGTCTCAAAATGAAGGTCTCGCTCACCTGGATCTCTGTCTTCTTCTGCTCTTCCACCTGGCTCAGGAGGAAACCTTCGGCCAGGGCCATCGCCTGAGAGCTGGTCTCTGTTCCACACTCTCGGATCCATCTCTCCATGTCTGGGGGCAGGACGGCCAGGAGCTGCTCCAGGATCACCAGATCCAACATCTGAGCCTTAGTGTGTCTTTCTGGCTGTAGCCACTGACGGCAAAAGTGGTGAAGGTGGCTGCAAATTTCTCGGGGCCCCTTAGACTCTTGGTACCGGACACTCCTAAAGAGCCTGCGCTGGACCTCTGAACTGATTGTCTTCTCCTCTAGGACCTCCTGCCCAGTTTCTGCCCAGATATCCCTACAGGTCCCAGAATGAGCATCTGGAGGGCCTTTTCCATCTCTATCGCATACTAGACATTCCTCCATTTTCTCTGTCCTCTAGCACAACTTCAAATGTAGCCAAGAAATCTTGCAGTTGTCCAAGGGTCTTTTCTTCTCTAGAACTACATTGTGCAGAAGCCCGGGAGAAGCCTCAACCGCTTTTTCATCCCCTCTTTGCTCCACAAGTTATTCCAATATTTAAGGGGCTGCCACAAAGAAGAGGGAGTCAACTTATTTCCCAAAGCACCAGAAGGCAAGACAAGAAACAATGGTTGGAAACTGATCCAGGAGAGAAGCAACCTGGAATTAAGGAGAAACTTCCTATCAGTGAGGACAATCAACCAGTAGAACAGACGTTGCCTTCAGACGTTGTTGTGGGTGCTTCATCATCACTGGAGGTTTTTAAGAAGAGATTGCACAGCCACTTGTCTAAAATGGTATAGGGTCTCCTGCTTGAACAGAGGGTGGACTAGAAGACATCCAAGATTCCTTCCAGTTCTATTCTAATTGATAGATAATAATATGTTAGAGTTTTATAGCTTTCCAGCGCAAAAATAAGCCCCCAAAATAAGCACACATTCAAAATGAGCAGGACACATACCGTATTTTCTGGCATATAAGACCACTCGACGTATAAGACAACCCCTGACTTCAGAGATGATTTGCATGGTTAGAAAGTCATCTTATATGCCGGAAAATACAGTATTTATATATATAGGGGGCGTATAAGACGACCCCCTATATATATATATATATATATATATATATATATATATATATATATATTAAAAATTAACATAAAAATTGAGGAACGTAGTCTCCTGGGTGTATACATATTCAAAAGATAAAAAGGAGCACCAGGAGGTAAAACAATTAAATGTTTAATAAATAAATAACCTAGCTTTCGATGGCTATATTGCTGCCATCATCGTCAGGGTGTTAAAAGCCAGAGGGTGGGGGAGCTCGTTTATAAGCACAAACGCGCCTGCACACGGCTCATAGACCTCGTTATGGGGCCCGGTCGATTGATCCTTTCATCACTCATGTCAGAAGTATTTCTGAGTTCTAAGTTCTTGCAGCTGATTACTTCTCTGTTGCGTGCGGCTCCTAGGCTGGGAGGCGAGCATTCCATGTCACTATGCACTAGAGTAACATGGGTAACTGCAGACCGATCCTGCGAAGAAATCCCAGATCTGGCTATCTTCCTCCCCCGTGTCTGATGTGTCACTCTCAGGGGGCATGCTATAAAAATGATACATACAGTTTCATTCAGCTCTGGGAAACATCAACAACTCTTAAGAGATCAAAAAAAAACAACACAGAGAAGACTAAGACATGCCCAGACCTAGGCTGGATCACAATACTGTGTCTTAATCAAAACCAGTTCTCATTGGCTGGTTTGTTGCTATGGCTATTCCAGTTCATAAAATTTCTTACACAATGACACAATAAAGCAAAAGAGGTTTCCAGATCATTCATCTAAAATGGAAAAGAAATGTTGGGATTACTGATAGCCAGCACTGCCAAAGAAAAATTAAGAACCAAGAGGAGATGGTTGGTTCTAATTACATACTGGAGAAAAGAGTGCAGATCACCTTACACAGACAGCTGTGTCTGATGATCTGGGAGGAGAGCAGAATGCAAGATCTTCAGGATCAACCTTCCTCAAACATTTGGAGCACCACAAGAGGATTGAGGAGGACGTTCTCAAGCTTGACAACTTGACAATGTGTGGACTTCAACTCCCAAGATTCCCCAGCCAGCTATGTGGACGGGGGAAGTCTGGGAGTTGCGGTCCACACATCTTCAAGTCTCCGATATTGGGAAAAGCTGATTTAAGAAGTCTTCCTCTTTGGATCCAGCATAATTGGATCCAGCATAACTGCAGTTTTTCGTTTTTATATGAACGGACTGACATTCTCTCTAGGACACACACACACACACACACACACACACACACACACCCAGGCAAAAACACGCAACTGAAGCCAAAACACAGGATGCTACAAACCACCCCGGATGAAATCATGCAATGCAACCCCACCCTCAGCTGCTTTCCTGCAAAGCTGTCTCGCTTTCCAGCTGGAGTTTTGCAATCTCTCTCTCTCTCCCTTCCTCCATGCAGAGTTTTCCCCCGGGAAATAGAGGAGAAATGCCCCCCCCCAGATTGCCTTCTCCTTGGGGAGCCTGAATTTATTCCGGGGTGGTGGTGGTGCAACATGGCTTGTCTGGAGCTTTGATTCTCACCCACCCACCCACCTTGCCTTGCCTGCATAGGAGAGGCAGAGCAACATGGGACACCGATCTCTTCCCTTCCCAGGGCTTCTACCGTGAAGACTTTGTTAGGTCTGCAGATGCTCGCCTCCAGCGCGAGACCCCTTTACAGAGAACAGCCCCCTCTCCCTAGGCTGCTGAGTAACGTCTGGATCGCTCTCCTTCGCGAGACGCGAAAGCTTCGGCAGAGCAGCGATCCTCGAGAAAGGGATCAAAACGGACGGGCGCATGCTCAGTTCTTCGCTGAAGCTTGGAAGCTGCCAGTCCTTCCAGTACGTGCAGAGGGTGCCTCCTGGCGGGTTTTCTGCAGAATGCAGGCGGTGCTTAAGAGCGCGGGGAGGGGCTGGGGAGGAGTGGACAGAGGGACGCTCTTTTGCCTCATCGAACCAAACTTGGTTTCTTCATGTTGGTCTGTGGAGACTTAAGAGACACAGTGCATTCCAGTTCTATTCTATCTTATGGAAAGTATTCAGAACCTCCCCCCCTTTCGCTTTTGTCAATTTTGTTATGCTACATGCAGCTCGATAATAAAATAGAATGGAATGGAATAGAATAGAATTGGAAGGGACCTTGGAGGTCTTCTAGTCCAGCCCCCTACTCAAGCAGGAAAACTTATTCCATCTCAGGGGCTGCCATAAAGAAGAGGGAATTAAGCTATTTTCCAAAGCACCTGAAGACAGGACAAGAAGCAATGGGTGGAAACTAATCAAGGAGAGAAGCAGCCTAGAACTAAGGAGAAACTTTCTGACAGTCAGAACAATTAATCAGTCGAACAATCTGCCTCCAGAAGCAGTAAATGCTCTAACACTGGAAGTTTTTAAGAAGAGACTGGACAGCCATTTGTCCGAAATGGTGTAGGGTTTCCTGCCTGAGCAGGGGGTTGGACTAGATGACCTCCAAGGTCCCTTCCAACTTTACTACTATTACTATCTCAGGCAAGTGGCTGTCCAGTCTCTTCTTAAAAACTTCAGTGATGGAGCACCCACAATTTCTGAAGGCAAGCTGTTCCACTGGTTAATTGTCCTCACTGTTAGGAACTTTCTCAATTCCTCTCTTTGATCAGTTTCCAACCATTGTTTCTTGTCCTGCCCTTTGGTGCTTTGGAGAATAATTTGCCTCTTCTTTGTGGCAGCTTCTCAAATACTGGAATTACTGCTATCATGTCACCTCTATTTCTTCTTTTCTTTAGACTAGCCAAACCTAAGTCCTGCTGCCCTTCTTCATATGTTTTAGTGTTCAGGCCTTTGATCATCTTACATGCTCTTCTCTGAACCTTTTCCAAGGTCTCAGCATCTTTTTTGTAGTATGGTGACCAAAATTGGCTGCAGTATTCCAGGCGTGGTCTCACTAGGGTTTTATAAAGCGGTACTAATACTTTGCGCGATCTTGATTCTATGCCTCTGTTTATGCAACCCAGGATTGTATTAGCTTGTTTGGCTGCTGCTGCACATTGATGGCTCATGGTCAAGTGATTGCCCACTAGAGGGATTCGCTTTTGCCTCATAAAACGTAATTTGGTTTCTTCACGTTGGTCTGTGCAGAGATTGGTAAATTGAAATAACTAAGCAAGACAACCAAAGGCACAGGTATAGAATAGGTGGTATCTGGCTCAAACGCCGTAGCTGTGAGAAGGATCCTGGAGTCCTAGTGGACAATCACTTAAACATGAGCCATCAGTGTCCCAAAGATGCTTTTTCAAGAGGCAACTTGACTTTCTTGTTTTTTCTTTGAAGACGTTTCACTTCTCATCCAAGAAGCTTCTTCAGCTCTGATTGGATGGTGGGGAATGGGAGGATTTATAGTATTTAAGGAAGTATAAATCCTTCCATGCCCCTCCATCCAGTCAGAGCTGAAGAACAGCTGCAGGACGTGGGTTTGGCTAGTCTAAAGAAAAGAAGAAATAGGGGTGACATTATAGCAGTATTCCAGTATTTGAGGGGCTGCCACCAAGAAGACAGCGTCAAATTATTCACCAAAGCACCAGAGGGAGGACAAGAAACAATGGTTGGAAACTGATCAAAGAGAGAAGCAACCTGGAACTAAGGAGAAAGTTCCTAACAGTAAGGACAATTAACCAATGGAACAGGTTGCCCATAGAAATCATGGGCGCTCCCTCACTGGAGGTTTTTAAGAAGAGACTGGACAGTCACTTGTCTGAAATGGTATAGGTTCTCCTGCTTGACTTGGGAGCAGGACTAGAAGACCTCCAAGATCCTATTTCTATTTCCACTTCTAATTTCTATCTATTTCTATTTTTTTCTATTTCTATTTCTGCTTCTATTCCAGGATGAGAAGCGAATCTTCTTCTTCTTCTTCTTCTTCTTCTTCTTCTTCTTCTTCTTCTTCTTCTTCTTCTTCTTCTTCTTCTTCTTCTTCTTCTTCTTCTTCTTCTTCTCCTTCTCCTTCTCCTTCTCCTCCTCCTCCTCCTCCTCCTCCTCCTCCTCCTCCTCCTCCTCCTCCTCCTCCTTCTTTCAAGAAAAAGTCTTGAAGTGGGTAAAGGACTCCATGCGACACAGCTCCAAAGTTTTACCTCAGAAATGTCAGTTTATGTACGCCATTTTCCCCCCCTTTTCCTTAACTGTGCTACTCCCTTTTATTCTATTGGGTTTTGAAAGCCAATAGAATAGACTCTCTTGAATAGAGTCTAATTCTATTGGCTTTCAAAAGCCAATAGGAATTGTCCAGGCTGTCTCTACCCTGCTGAGCCCGCCAAAAGTCCCATTCTGCAAATGGTGCTGCACCAGTTGAGTAGTCCTCGACTTATGTCTGGTTGAGTAGTCCTCGACTTACGACCGGTTGAATAGTCCTCGACTAATGACCGGTTGTGGGGGGTCGCTGCATTAAAAAGGTTGAGAACCACTGCCTTAGCACCTCTTCCTTCTTTCTTGGGATAAAAAGAAATATAAGGTCTAAGTCGTTTTGATTGCTTCCTTTAATTCCTCCCCCCCTTTCTTTTTATCCACCTAGTCCTCACTTATCAACTGCCCTATTTGGTCACAAAAGTGCTGAAAAAGTAACTCTGCAACTGGTTCTCGCATTTACAACCATCTCAGTGTCTCTGTGCTGAGGGCCATGTAGGATAAACTTTGCAATACTTGCAACATGGGTTTTTGTAGTACTGCTGCACTGGCTAACAAACCAGGGTTTACCTTCCAATTTAGCTCCCAATACAGACAGTCCTTGACCTACGATCAAAATTGAGTCCAACATTTCTGTTGTGGACCGAGAGTTGAGTTTTGTCCCACTTTACGACCTTTCTTGCCACCATTGTTAAGTGAATCACTGCAGTTGTTAAGTTAGTAACACAGTTGTAAAGTGAATCTGGCTTCCCCATTGACTTTGCTTGTCAGGTCACAAAAGGGGATCACGTGACCCCAGGACACTGCAACCGTCATAAATGAGTCAGCTGCCAAATGTCTGAATTTTGATCATGTGACCGTGGGGATGCTGCGATGGTCAATGAAAAAGTCACAAGCAGTGGTGGGATTCAAATATGTGAACAAGCGGTTCTCTGTATGGATGCCGCTTCCGGAAGTCCATTCTGGACCTGGGCAACAAAAAATTAACTACTAGTTCTGCCGAAGTGGTGCAAACTGGCTGAATCCCACCACTGGTCACAAGTCACTTTTTTCAGTGGGTTGTAACTTTCAACGGTCCCTAAATGAACTCTTGTATGCCAAGAACTACCTGTAAGTTTCTCCTTAATCATCTACTCCAACCTCCTGTGCAGGGATCCTAGAGAGATGGTCATCCAACCTTGTTTATACACATCCCCCAAAGGAGTCTCTTCCATTGGAGTTGAAGTCCACTGATCTTAAAAGTTGCCAAAGCTGAGAAACAATCATCTATCCAGATTCTTTTGTATTCTGTATTTGGGTTACAGCAGGGGTGTCCAATCTTGGCAATTTTAAGACCTGTAGACTTCAACTCTCAGCCATGTTGGCTGAGGAATTCTGGGAGTTGGAGGTCCACAAATCTTAAAAGTTGCCAAGGCTGGACAACTGTCTTACAGGGATCTCCCACCATATAGTATCAACCTTGTTAACTCCCAAGACTCTTTTTTCTGCTATGTATTCAAAATAGACTATGATTAATATACAGATGTGTGTGTGTGTGTTTATATATATATATGTATGTATGTATGTATGTATGTCTGTCTGTCTGTCTATATGTCTGTGTCTGTCTTTGGTTATTCGGGTTTTCTCCCGCGTAAAATTGGAAGTGTCTTGGCGACGTTTCGACGAAGTCTCATTCGTCATCTTCAGGCTGGTGCTTTCAGCTTCGTGCTCCTAGAAGCAATTGCTGAAAGCTGAAAGCAGCAGCCTGAAGATGACGAATGAGACTTCGTCGAAACGTCGCCAAGACACTTCCAATTTTACGCGGGAGAAAACCCGAATAACCAAAGACCTACATACAAACACCCACGGAAACCTCAGAAAACAAATATATATATAAAAAAACAGGCATCAGCATTTCATTTTTTAATGTGTGCATGTGTTCACAAAAAAAGTGACAATAAAGCCTATCCTATCCTATTTTGTCCTATCCTATCATCTGTAAAACTAATGTATGCTTCATTCTTTTATAGAAATGTTGACAATCAGTGACTGATATCCAGTTTATGGTCTATTTGATCAGAAGAAACTCCTCCCCCATTCAGGAGTGAGGGCTGTTTTTTCTGCTTTTATGTTATTTTATTTGTGTTGGCTCCCATGGATTTCCAAATGTCTCTTTTTCTCATGCTCGATTATTTGTAATATCTCAATACTCAACTCTTTAATCTTTACTCTCCTGTGCTTCAAAAAGACAGAAACTCACAAGAAACTTAGAAGCACAAGCTCTTCAAGGTTTTAAGACCGAGTATGTATGAACCGAAGCGAATAAATCTAGTATTTCTATGGATTAGTACCCAAGTGGATCCTTCTCCTGGTGGAATCTCTTTCCATACTTCATGCACTTATATGGGTTCTCTCCCGAGTGGATCTTGTTATGTCAATTAAGGTTACGACTACTCCCGAAGCTCTTCCCACTCCACGCATTTGTAGTGTTTCTCCGTGTGGGTCCTTTTTATGGGAAGTTAGGGACCTATTTTTACGGAAAGTCTTTCCACATTCCAGGCATTTGTAATGTTTCCCCCCATGTGAATCCTTTTGTGAATACTAAGAGTCCCGTTTTCACAGAAGTTCTTTCAGCTTTTTCCCGTGTGGATTGTTTTGTGAGAAATGAAATGACTTCCCTGACTGCAGCTCTTTCCACATGCCAGAATGGATCCTTTTATGGGAAGTAAGCTGAGTGCTCCATCTGAAGTTCTTCCCACATTCCAAACATTTCTCCAGTGTGGATACTTTGCTGGGAAATAAGTGAGCTGCTTTGTTCAAATATTTTCCCATATTCACTACCCTGATACGGTTTCTCCCCGGTGTGGATTTTTTTATCGAATGTAAGATGACTATTCCACCAGAAACTCGTTCCATATTCAAGACCTGGGTAGCCTTCTGTCGTCTGTGGGACAGAAATGAGTGTAGAGCTTTGAGTAAAAGTCTTTCCATACTCCGTGCGTTTATAAGGCTTCTCTCCTGCATGGATCCTCATATGAATTTTAAGGGACCTGTTCTCGCTAAAGCTCTTCCCGCACTCCATGCATTTGTAGGGTTTCTCTCCAGTGTGGATCCTTTTGTGGGAAATAAGATTGCTGCTCCGACTGAAGGTCTTTTCACACTCCGTGCATTTATAGGGTTTCTCTCCAGTATGGATCCTTTTATGGCATGCAAGGGAATTGTGTTTGCTGAAGCTTTTCCCACACTCTGTGCATTTGTACGGTTTCTCACCTGTGTGGGTTCTTTTATGAGAAATAAGGCTACAGTTCCAACTGAAGGTCTTCTCACACTCGGTGCATTTGTAGGGTTTCTCCCCTGTATGGATCCTTTTATGGGACGTAAGGTAACTCTTCTGGCTGAACCCTTTCCCACACTCCATGCATTTGTATGGTTTCTCCCCTGTGTGAATTGTTTTATGGGAAACAAGGTGAGCTCTCTTACTGAAGCTCTTTCCACACTCTGTACATATGTACGGTTTCTCCCCTGAGTAAATCCTTTTATGGGAGATCAATTGACTGCTTTGATGAAAGCTTTTGTCGTCCTCCGTGCGTTTATAGAGTTTCTCTCCGGCGTGGATCCTCTTATGAGAAGTAAGAGACCTAATTTCCTGGAAGCTTTCTCCACACTCCATGCACTTGTAGGGTTTCTCCCCAGTATGGATTCTTTTATGGGAAATAAGGTGGTTCCTCTTTCTAAACATCTGTCCGCATTCCGTACATTTATAGGGTTTCTCTCCCGTATGGATCTTTTTATGGAGAGTAAGCGAGCTCCTCCGACTGAAGGTCTTTTCACACTCCATGCATTTATAGGGTTTCTCTCCCGTATGGATCCTTTTATGGTATATAAGGAAACAGTTCTTGTTGAAGCTTTTCCCACACTCCATGCATTTGTATGGTTTCTCGCCTGTGTGGTTCCTTTTGTGGGAAATAAGCAGACAATTCCATTTGAAATTCTTTCCACATTGCGTGCACTTATAGGGTTTATCTCCCATAGTGCCCTTTTCAGGTAAGGGAAGAATAAAGGTCCCCTTGTAATCCTCCTTGTATCCATATTGTTCTGTAGAATGAGTTTGGTAATAGTTTTTTATATCTGATTTCGCCCTGATTTTTTTCACTATGTTCTCCAAACACTCTTTGGGGTTTTTTCCGGTTTGACTTTCCAGAGCAGCAAAATCATTTCTACTCCAAACAGGCTGGGAGACTAAGCTTTCCTTATTTCCATTTTTTGATACATTTCCTAGGCCACTTTTTGTTTCCATCTGAATTGCCATTTTTTCTGCTTCCCTCCTGGGCCAAGTTGTCTGCAGTGTTATCTCGCAAGTCTCATTCTGCTGGCCATACGCTCCTTACAAGAAAACAAAAAAGTAAGTTGTGCTGAGGTACAAAGAAGTAAAGGTTAAGGAATAACAAGCGATTCTAAACATCTGAATGGAAGGTTGACATAAGCAGCATTTTGAAAGTCTGTCATGTTGATCAATATAAAAGATAGTCTAAAGTTTATTGAACTCTGAATTTTGATATAAATTATCATCAAGTTCGTAAGTGAAAATTTATAATGTGGAAATGCATGGTTCCTTTTTTATAAGAAATAGAAGACTTATAATAATAGTAGTAGTAAAGTTGGAAGGGACCTTGGAGGTCATCTAGTCCAACCCCCTGCTCAGGCAGGAAACCCTACACCATTTCAGACAAATGGCTGTCCAGTCTCTTCTTAAAAACTTCCAGTGTTTCTCCAATTCTTCAAAGGATCCATTGATTTTAGTGGATGGAATCTATGCACCACAGGGTTGAACTGTGGTGTCATTGGTACTCTCTAAGGTTAGTAGTTTGTTGCATATGTTTATTACTCAACTAGATAATTAGCTCTGATCTTGTTACTTAGTTGGGTAATGAAACATCTGCAACCAAAACTCAGAAAGCACCAAAGACTCCACAGTTCTACTGATTTTAAACCAAAACCATATCAATGTTGTTACATTTCCCCGCCTTCATTAATCAATTCTCCTTCCTTGTTATATTGCTATGAATTCTCAGCAGAGTTCATATAGAAGATTGAGGAACCATGGGGTATCCAGAGAGCAGATAGTAAGGCTGTCCCATCCTTTGCTTTTGTTCCTGGCCTATCTTTCACCTGCTTCGGAATCTCCTCTTACCACACGGGCACAGTTGCAGAGAAAAAAAAATTAATCATATATAAAAATATTAGAACAATCGGGATCAATTAAAACTGTCAAGGTTGAATTTCTAAGATGCTTGCTAACCTTTGTCTCTACTCAACTTGCCATAGAAAGAAGGGGGTGGGGAAGCCTGGGAAAGAAATGGGAGTTTTGAGAAGCTGTCTATGGACCATGAGAGCCAAGGTCACAAAAGCAGGTGTCTGGACGGAGAAGTAGACCGTTCCCAAAACAAACCAAAGAAGCGTGATTGGCCAATGTGAACACTTGGTGAGTGAGGGTTATGGAAAGCTATTGTTAACTAATCAGATTTTCGCATGGGAAAACCAGAGTTGATTTTGCTTCTTCAGTACTGGGATGCGTATTCAATTCATCTTTTATGGCAACTCAAGCTGTAGGGTTTTCTTGATGTTGGATTTGCTAGCCAGAAGGTTGACAAAAACAGGTTCAAAAAAATATGAACCAATGCCCAGGGGATGGTAGATCTACAAAGGTTTTGGAAAGAAGAAAAGAACACAACTATCAGGTTCCACAAAGAAGGAGGAGTTCAAGCTATTCTCCAAAGCGCCTGAAGGCAGGATAAGAAGCAACGGATGATAACTAACCAAAGAGAGAAGCAACCTAGAACTAAGGAGAAACTTCCTGACCGTTAGAACAATTAACCAGTGGAACAACCTGCCTCCAGAAGCTGTGAATGCTCCAACACTTGAAGTTTTTAAGAAGAGACTGGACAGTCAATTGTCTGAAATGGTATAGGGTAGTGATGGCGAACTTTTTAGAGACCGAGTGCTCAAACCGCAACCCGAAACCCACTTATGTATCATCGGGTGTTGGGTGGGCGTGGCCCATTGGATGGGCGTGGCTGTGCCAGTAATGGCAGATAGGGTGGGACTAAAAAGTTCAATCAATCAATTCCAACTTTGCAAGATCTTTTTTTTCCCGCGAGAAATTGAAATTGATCGATTGAACCTTTTTTTTCTTTGCACATGGCGGCGGAGGCTTAAAGCGAAAAGGTTTTATAAAACCCAGGTGAAGGCCTAGGATTGGGGTCACGGAGTGCGTGCCCACAGAGAGGGCTCTGCGTGCCATCTGTGGCACACGTGCCATAGGTTCGCCACCATGGGTATAGGGTTTCCTGCCTGAGCAGGGGGTTGGACTAGATGACCTCCAAGGTCCCTTCCAACAGTATTATTATTATTATTATTATTATTAACAACAACAACGTTTTAGCCTCCAGTCCCCAATCATCTTTGTTGCTTTTCTCTGCGCACTGTCTAGATCAGTGGTTCTCAACCTGTGGGTCGGGACCCCATTTGGGGTCGAACGACCATTTCACGGGGGTCGCTAAACAACACGGTCCGCCATTTTTTCCCCCCTTTTCCTTAGCTGTGCTACTCCCTTTTATTCTATTGGCTTTTGAAAGCCAATAGAATAGATTCTCTTGAATAGAGTCTAATTCTATTGGCTTTCAAAAGCCAATCAGAATTGTCCAGGCTGTGTCTGCCCTGCTGAGCCCGCCAAAAGTCCCATTCTGCAAACGGTGCTGCAGCACTTGAGTAGTCTTCGACTTACGACCGGTTGAGTAGTCCTTGACTTACGACCGGTTGGGGGTCGCGGCATTAAAAAGGTTGAGAACCACTGGTCTAGATCCTCTAGAAGTAAAGGTGCCTTTTAACCAGAAATAGCCAATTTCATGCCATCAAAAAAATGTCTCCTCTAAGGGCCCAGCAGAAGTCCTTACCCAGAAAGGCCATATTCTGGGAATTCTCCTGCATGACTTGTTTATGGAGGGCTTTTTGGTGGTTGTCCAGCTGAGACCATTCCTCCTCAGAAAAATGCACCGCCACTTCCTCAAAGGACACAAAACTCCCCTGAACAAGGAAAAACAGGGACACGTTAACCAACAGCTCAAGGAATTACCTGCCAGTTCTCTCCCTTTGTGGACCGGTTTTTAAAGCAGACATGTACACATGGCTGTTTCTGAAGGATGCAAAATATTATATGTAAAAATGGCATGGATCTGATGAAACATTTGTGGCAAGGCTAAGAAACATTGGTGGTGAAAATGATGGGACTTGTGAAGATGGCTAAATTCACTTGCCTGATTAGAATAAAAAGAACCCGTGTTTACGGCTGGCTGGAAACTCCTTATTTTTTGTATGAAGTGGAAAAAAGTGCTCTTATGGTTTGTGGTTTTGATGATTAGAAAAAAAAACCTGGATATTAGAAAAGAATGAACTCTGATCAGTTATCTCATTAGAATAAGAGATAACTTTGTAGTTGTGCTTAAATTTGTTCTAAAGGAAATCGGAAACTTAGTTCTTTTTGCAATTTTTTTGCTTTCTTTTTTCTCTTTTCTGCTTTTAATTTATCCCAACACAAAACTAATTTCAGTGACCTTTCAGTGATGTTCAGGGAAAAAAATTAATTAAGTTACTCCGGATCCCTTCCAAATTCTCAGTGGTTTCCCCTTTTCCTGGTTGTTCACTATTTTGATATATGCAGACAGCCATCTCAAATGCAGGACTCTAGGCGGCTTACAACAATTTCGAGTTGCTGAAGGATGTGTTGCAAGATTTCTGTGTGACATTTTAGGTGAAGATGCAAGAAATGCTCAAATCAATTAGATATAAAAGAAAGGAATTTTATGCTCATATACTTATTCTGAAGTCTTTATCCCGATTAGACTTGAGAAAAAAAAATATCTTCAGGGCACTCGTTTATGTATCAGATCAAAAATCAAATCAATCTTCATTATGGTCACAAACAATATAATATATATTATACAATAAACATTTTACTATATAGTTTTTTTTCTTAGGACTGTCTAGACCAGGGGTGTCAAACTGCTGGCCCGCAGGCCGGATGTGTCACGATGAAACCACACCTACCCCATTGCTGGCAATGGGGAAAAAGTTCCAATACGTTGTGCAACGTCACGAGTTTGACATGTTTGCTCTAGACCAGTGGTGGAAAAGCTATGGCACGCGTGCCAGAGACGGCACTCAGAGGGCACACATGCCATCGCTCCAGCCCCACCTCCCCTGTGGCCCCCTTCTCACCAGTAGCCGCCCCGGAGGAGTCGCCCCTGGACACGGCCCGCACGGAGCAGCGCAGCCAAGAACATGGCAGCTGGGCAGCAAGGACAAGACTCTGCCATCACGCTCCGTCATGTGCAAATGATGCTGCGGGGCGTGGGTGGATGGCATGGCCACGACATTGCAGGACAGCCTGGGCGATCTCCTGCGGCAGGCCATGGAGGCGGTGGGTGGCCCTGTGGGTAGTTGGGGGTGGGGCAGAGCAGGACAGTTTTTGGGCACTCGGTCTCTAACAGGTTCACCATCACTGCTCTAGACTTTTAATTTGGAGTAGAGTGGGGGTGACTGGATGGAGCTGAACATTTACTAGCCGGATCCCCTTCCTGACGCCTACATGGAGTTCACAGCAGATATTTTTCTTTGTCCCCTAAGAGAGAAACAACTGCTGCTACCTAGTATTTGTTAATCTAGGTCCGGCTAGATTGGATCTAGGAGTGGTTTGCTCTCAGTGCTTCTTATAACAGTGCCACACCCCAAATCCCACCCTCCACCCAGAAACCACCATCTGCCTGGCTGCCTTTAAAAGTCCATACGTCTGACCCAGGCCCTCCTCCTGCTGAATCCCGCCCCTCTGTTCCGCCTTCTGGCTGATCAAGATAGAGCCACTTGTTGCTGCATCGTGTTCCAGCTCCTTTGGCAATGGTGAGTCTATTTGTGCCTCACAGCTCTCCATGGAGAGCAGTCCCTGTGGCAATTCTTCACCCGGCTCACTCCCCTTGCCGCCCTGCTGGCCCCCGACGTCCAGCTGATCAGCGAGGCATCTAGGCTCGACCTCCGCCCAGCTGACTGGCAGAGCTTCCGGCCCCGGTTTCCACAGCGTTCGGGGCCCGTGTTGTGCGGCCACCGGCTGATGGGAGGTACTGTGTAGAGCAGCAGCCTGGAACGGCGGTGGTGAGTCGTCTCCTATGTTCCCCCCACCGGCGAATGGCAAGCCCCGTAGGGCTTGACAGTATTGAACTCTTAACCTTCTGAGTGGGAGGCGAGCATCTTCACCACTAGGCCAACACACCGCTCTTTTACAATATAATATTAAGTGATAAATTTAAGTAATGCCCTCAAAGCTAGCAGCAAATAAAATAAACTGTATAGAAATGATTGAAATACTGGGGGTGGGGGGGAACAGAACAAGGAATCTATGGCAAAAATTTCCGGAACCAAATTAAAACAAAATAAAAACATTAAGGAGCAAGACCAAAGACATTAAATGAAGAATTTCAAAATCAAAAGCAAAGATGTGCATTACAGTCGAACAGGGTAACAGGGGCACTTGTGGGGTAAGGGAGAAAAAAAAAATCAAACCTTTTCAATACATGCATCACAGGCAGGCTGTGTGTTATGTTACCTGGGATTAACTCTCTCCCCACTCAACAGCTACATGAAACTGCCTAGGTAGCATCTAGAGCAGAGCTATAGTCATATGGACTTTTAACTCTGAGAATTCTGCAGGCAGCATATACTGTAGGGATAATAATAATAATAAAGTTGGAAGGGACCTTGGAGGTCATCTAGTCCAACCCCCTGCTCAGGCAGGAAACCCTATACCAGGGGTAGGCAACCTCGGCTCTTTTATGACTTATGGACTTCAACTCCCAGAATTCCTGAGTCAGCATAACTGACTCAGGAATTCTGGGAGTTGAAATCCATGCGTCATAAAAGAGCCGAGGTTGCCTACCCCTGCCCTATACCATTTGGACAAATGGCTGTCCAGTCTCTTCTTAAAAACTTCCAGTGTTGGAGCATTCACCGCATCTGGAGGCAGGTTGTTCCACTGGTTAATTCTTCTAACTGTCAGGAAGTTTCTCCTTAGTTCTAAGTTGCTTCTCTCCTAGATTAGTTTCCATCCATTGCTTCTTGTTCTGCCCTCAGGGGCTTTGGAAAATAGCTTGACTCCCTCTTCTTTGGGGCAGCCCTTGAGATATTGGAACAGTGCTATCATGTCCCCCCTCGTCCTTCTCTTCCTTAAACTAGACATACCGAATTCCAGCAACCGTTCCTTATATGTTTTAGCCTCCAGACCTCTAATCATCTTTGTTGATCTTCTCTGTACTCTTTCTAGAGTCTACATCTCTAGATTTAAGGATCTAGGGGTTTGGTGGAATGCTGTCAGTAGGTACACAACATGCTTCCCAACAGAAAATAGGGCAATTGAACCTTGACCAGAAGGGGAATAAGCTAAGTTGAAGGTAACTGGTCAAGGGCTGAATTCACATTTCCTCTTTCCATGTTGTGTAGAAGCAACAATATCATACGTCAACCCCACAACCAATCAGGAGGCCTCAAAATGGCTCTTTGTAGCTTCTCTGAAGCTTCTCCTCCTACCTGAACAGCTGATTCAGTTACTTTTCCAGCTCCACCAGTACACGGAGGTGATCCTAGAAATATCAGTGGAACTATTCCATCTTCTGTAAACAAGATAAAAATGGTGGAAGAAGAGTTTTTTAAAGTGAAATAATGGATGAGGAGATTCAGACAATGAGAGGAATTTCCGTGGAATTTCACATGGCTTGGAAGGAATCCATTCTTACCCAGTGAAGTGTCCTGATGTTGAACTTCCTCGGCGAACATTCTAGAAAGGTGCTTCGGAGAGCAATTTGATGGATCTTGCATTCTCTTGGAATGATCAGGGACCATGTCCAAGAATGACTCCTGGAAGGAAAGTAGCAGGTGGAAAGAATGGAGAATTACTATATCAAATAAAAATCCACAATCAAATAAGGATCCACAAACACTGGCTGGTAGTCAAGCACCGTGATCCCAAATCCTTAATCTCGACCCACATCGACAAGAAACAACACCAGTTCGACTGAAGCAACACTAAAATCATCGGCCACACTACCACCCGCCACATTCGTGAGTTCATCGAAGCCTGGCACTCCACAAGCAATAGACACGTCAAACTACAATCAGCCTACGAACCCCTCAGGATCCAAATCAACCACATAGCCCACCAGAGACAGCACCAACCCTCAACCAAGCCACACAATCCCTCCTCCCTCTCCCACCAGTTCTCCTCCCAATGACTCTAACCCAGCGGTTCTCAACCTGTGGGTCGCAACCCCATTTGGGGTTAAACGACCATTTCACGGGGGTCGCCAAACAATGCAGTCCACCATTTTCCCCCCTTTTCCTTAGCTGTGCTACTCCCTTTTGTTCTGTTGGCTTTTGAAAGCCAATAGAATAGACTCTCTTGAATAGAGTCTAATTCTATTGGCTTTCAAAAGCCAATAGGAATTGTCCAGGCTGTCTCTGCCCTGCTGAGCCCGCCAAAAGTCCCATTCTGCAAACGGTGCTGCAAGTTGTCTGCAGCGAAGGCAAGCTGTCCGGAAGTTTCCACCCCTCCCTGCTGAGCAACTACTAAAAATGTAAGTAAAAGAGGGCCAGGGGTGGGAGGTGGGAGGCCAGCGGGCGCAGGGAGGGTTGCTGGCGCGTGTGGGGCCTGGCGGGTGCCTTACCTCCCTTGGGCTGGGCCAGCTGGTGGTCGGCCTCGCCGTCTCTGCTGCTTGCCAGCTACGCCTTGGCCGGCGCAGGGGGCGGCACCATGCATGCGCGGTGCTCCCGGGCAGGGAAAGTCCTCGACTTACGACGGGGTGGGTAGTCCTCGACTTACGACCGATTGGGTAGTCCTCAACTTACGACCGGTTGGGGTTCGCAGCATTAAAAAGGTTGAGAACCAAAGCTCTAACCCATGGGTCGGCAACCCGTGGCTCCGGAGCCACATGTGGCTGTTTGAACCTTCTACTGCGGCTCCCAGTCCTCCTCCGTCATTTGCGGAGAGAGACAGAGAGAGGCACCTTCTCACTCTCTTTCCGATCTTCTGCTTCACACTGTTCTCTGACAAGCTTATTGGGCGGGGCTCCTACTTTTGCTGCGTCTCTGCAGGAAGCAGCTCTCTCTCTCTCTCTCACACACACACACTTTTACTTACTTAGTGGGGGAAAAGGACTGATAGACCAAGGGCAGGAGAGAGCCAGCAATAAGAATGTGTGTCAGCTTGTCGGAGAACAGCGTGAAGCCAGCTTGCCAGGTGAGCAGAAGATCAGAGAGAGGGAGAGAGAACTCATGCACAACAGCCTCTATTTCTTTTTAATTAAACTCTTCAATCAAGCCCCCACTCCTGTGCACGCACACGCACGCAAGTTTTGCGGCTCCCAATTTTTTCTTTTCTGTGGGAAACGGGTCCAAGTGGCTCTTTGAGTGTTTAAGGTTGCCGACCCCTGCCCTAACCTAATGTAACCTCCCCATTACAAGACCCATCACAATTGTCTCACTGATGACTCACACCTGGCCCATCACAAGACCCTCACTTGACACATCCACACCTGAAGCCCTTATAAACAGAAGAACACCAACACCGATATCCCCTAAATTCCGCTGAAGACGTTACCTAGCCTGGTAACGAAACATTCGGAAACCAACCCACAAGCTTGCAGAACGAATCTTCACCCTCATCCTACAGCCGAGCTACAGATATTCGCCACTATTGCAAAATTAATATATCATCCCAGAGGAATGAACGTTGTTATCTCCTCACAACTTTGCAACATTCTTGGTCCACAGTAGGAATAGAAAGGAAGAATAGGAAAATGGTCCAACAATGACCTCTGGAAGGGACGTAGCAGGTAGAAAGAAAGGAGCAAGCAGCAGAAGAACCAGTGTTAAGCATCTCTTCATATTATGTTGAGGAGATATTTAAAGACTCAAACACTGTTTGTAACATTCACGCCCCTTTTAAGTCTCAAAATGAAGGTCTCGCTCACCTGCATCTCTGTCTTCTTCTGCTCTTCCACCTGACTCAGGAGGAAACCTTCAGCCAGGGCCACCGCCTGAGAGCTGGTCTCTGTTCCACACTCTCGGATCCATCTCTCCATGTCTGGAGGCAGGACGGCCAGGAGCTGCTCCAGGATCACCAGATCCAACATCTGAGCCTTAGTGTGTCTTTCTGGCTGTAGCCACTGACGGCAAAAGTGGTGAAGGTGGTTGCAAATTTCTCGGGGCCCCTTAGACTCTTGGTACCGGACACTCCTAAAGAGCCTGCGCTGGACCTCTGAACTGATTGTCTTCTCCTCTAGGACCTCCTGCCCAGTTTCTGCCCAGATATCCCTACAGGTCCTAGAATGAGCATCTGGAGGGCCTTTTCCATCTCTATCGCATACTAGACATTCCTCCATTTTCTCTGTCCTCTAGCACAACTTCAAACGTAGCCAAGAAATCTTGCAGTTCTCTCTTTTCTTCTTAGGAACTACATTGTACAGAAGCCCCGGAGAAGCCTCAACAACATCTTCATCCCCTCTTTGTTCACAAGTTATTTTTGTACCTGTATGAGGAGAAATGGAATAGAATAGAATACTTTATTTTGCCAAATGGGATTAGACACACAAGCAATTTGTTTCCAGTGCGGAAGCTCTCAGGGTATATGCAAAAGAACAGAGTAATAATAATTATAACGATACTAATAAGGAATTGAGTATGGCCAGTCTAGAGAAAAGAAGGACTGGGGGGGGGGGGATATGATATCAGTATTCCAGTATTTGAGGGACTGCCACAAAGAAGAGGGGGTCAACTTATTTTCCAAAGCACCTGAAGGTAGGACAAGAAACAACGGATGGAAACTAATCAAGGAGAGAAGCAACCTGGAATTAAGGAGAACCTTCCTAATAGCGATCCCAAAGGTGCTTTTTCAAGAGGCAACTGGACTTTCTTGTATTGCTTCTCATCACTTCAAAGAAAAACAAGAAAACCCAGTTGCCTTGTGAAAAAGCATCTTTGGGATAACTATGACCTGGATGACTGAGAATCTCTACATTCCTAAGAGTGAGAACAATTAACCAGTGGAAGAGTTTGTCTTCAGAAGTTGTAGGTGCTTTATCACTGGAGGCTTTTAAGACTGGACAGCCACCTGTCTGAAATGGTCTAGGGCAGGGGTAGGCAACCTTGGCTCTTTTATGACTCGTGGACTTCAACTCCCAGAATTCCTGAGCCAGCTTGGCTGGCTCAGGAATTCTGGGAGTTGAAGTCCACGAGTCATAAAAGAGCCAAGGTTGCCTACCCCTGGTATAGGGTCTCCTGCGTGAGTTGCACTCTGATTGATAATAATAAAGCAAAAGAGATTTCCAGATCATTCATCTAAGATGAAAAAGAAATTTTAGGATTATGGATAGCTAGCACTACCAAAGGAAAATTAAGAACCAAGAGGAGATGGTTCTTATACATATTTGAAAAAAAAAAGTGCCGATCACATTACACAGTTGCGTCTGATGATCGGGGAAGAGAGCAGAATGCAAGATCTTCAGGATCAGCCTTCATCAAACACCTGGAACACTAGAAGAGGATAGGTGCCTCTATCCTTGACAACTTGACAATGTGTGGACCTCAGCTCCCAGAATTCCCCAAGCAGCTAAGTTGACTGGGGAATTCTGGGAGTTGCAGTCTCCACACATTTGTGAGTCGCCGAGGTTGGGGAAGGCTGATTTAGGAAGTCTTTCTCTTTGGATCCAGCACAATTTCAAGCTTTCCTTCTTATGTGAACACAGAGACATTTTCTCTCTCTGTCACACACAGAACACGCAGGCAAAAACATGCAATTAAAGCCAAAACACATGATGACAAACCACCACGGATGAATTCATACAATGCAATCCAGGTCCATCCCCAGCTGCTTCCCTACAAAGCTTCCTCGCTTTCCAGATGGAAAATTTGCAATGCCCACCCCCCTCTCTTTTTTTCCTCTCCTTCCCTCCCTCTCTCCTTCTGTCCCACTCTCTCCTTCCTCTCCTCCCTCCCTCCCTCTCCTGCTCTCTCCTTCCCTCCCTCTCCTTCCCTCCCTCTCCTTCCCTCCTTCTGTCCCACTCTCCTTCCCTCCCACTCTCCTCCCTCTTGCTCTCTCCTTCCCTCCCTCTCCCTCCTGCTCTCTCCTTCCATCCCTCTCCTTGTCTCACTCTCCTTCCCTCCCTCTCCCTCCTCTCTCCTTCTGTCCCACTCCTTCCATCCCTCTCTCCTTCTGTCCCATTCTCCTTCCTCCCTCTCCCTCCTACTCTGTCCTTCCATCCCTCTCCTTGTCTCACTCTCCTTCCCTCCCTTTCTCTCCTGCTCTCTCCTTCCATCCCTCTCTCCTTCTGTCCCACTCTCCTTCCATCCCTCTCCTTCTGTCCCACTCTCCTTCCTCCCTCCCTCCTGTTCTCTCCTTCCATCCCTCTCCTTGTCTCACTCTCCTTCCCTCCCTTTCTCTCCTGCTCTCTCCTTCCATCCCTCTCTCCTTCTGTCCCACTCTCCTTCCTCCTCCCTCTCTCTCTCCTTCCTCCCTCTCCTTGTCTCACTCTCCTTCCCTCCCTTTCTCTCCTGCTCTCTCCTTCCATCCCTCTCTCCTTCTGTCCCACTCTCCTTCCTCCCTCTCCCTCCTGCTGTCTCACTCTCCTTCCCTCCCTTTCTCTCCTGCTCTCTCCTTCCATCCCTCTCTCCTTCTGTCCTCCTGCTCTCTCCTTCCATCCCTCTCTCCTTCTGTCCCACTCTCCTTCCATCCCTCTCCTTCTGTCCCACTCTCCTTCCTCCCTCCCTCCTGTTCTCTCCTTCCATCCCTCTCCTTGTCTCACTCTCCTTCCCTCCCTTTCTCTCCTGCTCTCTCCTTCCATCCCTCTCTCCTTCTGTCCCACTCTCCTTCCTCCCTCTCCCTCCTGCTCTCTCCTTCCATCCCTCTCCTTGTCTCACTCTCCTTCCCTCCCTTTCTCTCCTGCTCTCTCCTTCCATCCCTCTCTCCTTCTGTCCCACTCTCCTTCCTCCCTCTCCCTCCTGCTCTCTCCTTCCATCCCTCTCCTTGTCTCACTCTCCTTCCCTCCCTTTCTCTCCTGCTCTCTCCTTCCATCCCTCTCTCCTTCTGTCCCACTCTCCTTCCATCCCTCTCTCCTTCTGTCCCACTCTCCTTCCTCCCTCTCCCTCCTGCTCTCTCCTTCCATCCCTCTCCTTGTCTCACTCTCCTTCCCTCCCTTTCTCTCCTGCTCTCTCCTTCCATCCCTCTCTCCTTCTGTCCCACTCTCCTTCCATCCCTCTCTCCTTCTGTCCCACTCTCCTTCCTCCCTCTCCCTCCTGCTCTCTCCTTCCATCCCTCTCCTTGTCTCACTCTTCTTCCCTCCCTTTCTCTCCTGCTCTCTCCTTCCATCCCTCTCTCCTTCTGTCCCACTCTCTCCTTCCTCTCCTCCCTCCCTGCTCTCTCCTTCCATCCCTCTCCTTGTCTCACTCTCCTTCCCTCCCTCTCCCCTCTTCTCTTTCAGTCCCTCTTTTTCTCCTTCTTTCCCTCCCTCCGTCTCTCTCTCCTTCCGTCCCTCTGTCTGTTCCCCTTCCAGTCCCCTCCTCCCCACGCCGAGTTTATTCCCATCTGCCTTCGTGGGGATCCTGAATTTATTCCTGCGGGGTGTGTGTGCGCAACATGGCTAGTCTGGAGCTTTGATTCTCACCCTCTTCCACCCCCCCACCCACTCGCCTTGCCCTGCATGCAATGGGGCGACAGGGGAACATGGGTCCTTAGGGCTTCCCCCCACCCTTTCCAGGACTCCGACCCTGGATGAAGACTTCGCACCTCTCCACCCGCACGCCTCCAGCGCGAGATCCCTTATGCACGGGAAGAAGCTCACTGCCGAGCCACGTCTGGATGGCTCTCCTTTGCAAGGCGGGGAAGCTTCCGTGCAAGCGTCCGGGCGAGGGAATGCAGGGAGGCCGGACCTTCGGTGACGTCACCCCTTCCCTTCCGTTCCTCCGAAAACCCAGACACAGGAGGAAGAGGAGCTTCCGCCGGGCAAGACGGGCAGACGCATGCTCAGTTGCTCGTTGAAGCTGCGAGGCTGCCAGCTCTTATAGTGGTGCAGGGGGAGCCACCTGGCGGGCTCTCTGCAGAGTGCAGGCGGTGCTTAAGAACGGGGCGGCCGGGGGCGGTGCGGGGGGGGGGGGAGAAGGACTTGCTTTAACCTCATAAAACGTAACTTGGTATTTCTCCATGTTGGTGTGTGGAGACTTCAGACCTATACTAACCTGCTGAAGGAATTGAAATAATCAAAAATATGAACACCCAAAGACTACTTTTTTCCACGCACAAACCCGCTTCATTCGGGGATCTTGTGAAAGAGAAGAACCAGAACAGAACAGAACAGACCAGAATAGAATAACAGAGTTGGAAGTGACCTTGTAGGTCTTCTAGTACAGTGTTTCCCAAACTTGTCCATTTTAAGGCATGTGGACTTCAACTCCCAGAATTCCACAGCCAGCATTGCTGGCTGTGGAATTCTGGGAGTTGAAGTCCACATGCCTTAAAATGGACAAGTTTGGGAAACACTGTATCTAGTACATAAAAAGCCTTGTCTGCATCTATTTACATAAAATCAAAAGGAGGGAATCTTCCCTTCTTCAGGTCAATCCTTTTGCCCGGCAGAACAATAAGAAAAAATGTGCTTCAACAGAAAGGTGTCCCTGTCTGGTTCAAATGTATCTTAAGGAAATCCTCCCACGCTTAACCCCAGCATCCGTGTACACCCACACACTTTCCCATGCACTCAACATCAAAAAGAAAGCACTCTATTTGGAAATTGCTTCTGGATTTTGTGCTTGCAATGAAAAAAGAAAATGAAACTTTGATTTTGTTTTCTCTGTTTCTTGCTATAGAACTGGCTAGCATATACTGTTGTGTAAAAATAAAAAATTGAGGTTATGTTATTTTCTACTGTGCTAAAGAGAGTTGGAAGTCGATGTCTTTTTCTTTCCTTTTCCTTCTATACAAGATATTTTCTCTTTTCCCCCTCCTCTCCAGTTTTCTATTACTTTTTAAAATTTCTCTTTGTATTTTATATTTTTTATAATACATTTTATAATAAAATGTATTATAAAAAATAAAAAACATCAAAAAGAAAGGGGAAAACACATTTATTATAACTGGGAATCCATTTCTACTACTTAAAGAAATGACTTATGGGTGTGTTTATTATTTTATTTAAAAAACATTAAAGTATCAAAAACCATTAAAGTATCAAAAACCATTTGCCACATAACCGAAATTTAAGTTACTATTTTATTTTGACATCATATGTTCTTTTGTATTCAGATCTGGTCTTAGGAAAATAATGTAACATTTGGGGAGAAAAATTAATAGCAACAGGCTAGCGCTGGAAGCCAACATGGAGAAGACCTGCACAGCTACCATATATTTCCCCTTGGTGCTCAGGTAGGTGGGTACAAAGGATATCCAGACGCTACAGAAGACCATCATGCTGAAGGTGATCAACTTGGCTTCGTTGAAGGCCCCAGGTAGATTCCTGGCTAGGAAGGCCATTGTGAAGCAGATGATAGCCAGGAAGCTCATATAGCCAAGGGCAAGATAGAACATGGCACGAGAGCCTTCATTACATTGAAGGATGACCTCAGCAGATTCTGAATACATGTCCGACTCAGGGAATGGGGGAGAGGTACCCAACCAGATGCTGCAAAGGACAACTTGGACTCCAGAGCAAGAAAGGATGATAGAATTGGCCATGCTCTTCCCTAACCATCTCTGTACATTATTCCCTGGTTTTGTGGCCAAGAAGGCTAATACCACCATGACAGTTTTGGCCAAGACAGTAGAAATGGCAACTGTAAAAATGTTGCTGAATGCTGTTTGTTGGACAAGGCAAGTGGTTACTTTTGGTTGACCAATGAATAAGAATGAGGTCAAGAATGAAAACAGGAGGGAGATGAGGAGGATGTAGGAGAGATCACGATTGCTGGCTTTGACCAAGGGAGTTTCTCGAAATTTAATGAATATTCCAAAGAGAAAAATGGTTGCCAAAGACAAGAACAAGGCAAGGGAAGCTAGCATGATCCCCAACATTTCTTGGTAGGATAGGAAAGTTTCCATCTTAGGTATACAGTCATCTTGGCTGAGACTTGGATGCTGATCTGCTGGACATTTTGTGCATCGTTCAGCATCTGAAAAAGAGCAAGATTAATATCTATCATAAAGCAGATGCTTTCATCAGATGCATAGCTGGAATGAAACTAGTGATGATATGGATGAATATGTGGGGAGAAAGGAAGTTTGCAGAAATGCTTAGCAAATTTAAATAGTATAATGCAAAGGACAATTGCCACAATTGTCCTGCCACCAATGACCCATGGACAGATACTTGTTGGGAATTCCTGTAACAGACTAGTTCAAGCACAGGAAGGAATAAGGGAATATTTTAAGAAGAAAGGTATTTCACAATAAATTCAGCTCTTGGTCTTCTGAAAGGATTATTGAATTTGGATTTCCAAAAGTTGGCCTCTGCTGAGTATTCTGCCTTTTTAATATTTCCCAAAATGTTTCTTTCTCTGGATTCTTCCCACAGGACAATGTGACCTGAACTGTCAGAGAGGGGAGGGAAAGTTTTACTCTTTTAACTATCTGTTTCCTGCCATTGCTTTAGAGTTAGCTTTCCTTCAAAACTTGCCAGTTTTTGCCTAATAAAGTGAATATTGGAGTTTATCATGTCTCTAGTGTTTTGCTTGGTTGGGCTTATTCAGCCGGAATATGACAGAGAATGTCTACCATTTTTCATCAAAGAACAGGAAGGAAGGAAGGAAGGGAAGGAAGGAAGGAAGGAAGGAAGGAAGGAAAAAAAGGAGGGGAAGGGAGGGTTGGGAGCGAGTGAGGAAGGAAGGAGGGAAGGAATAAATCATTGTTGGAATTGTGGCTGGACCTGTTAATAAAAGAAATCCGGGATTCTACTCATGCATTAGTTGATCAAGGAAAGTAGGAGAGGAGAAAAGAGGAGAGAAGGGAAGGAAGAGGAGAGGAGAGGAGAGGAAAAGGAGAGAAGAGAGGAGAACATCAGAAATTCTCCATTTCTGTAGAGACACCAAGAAAAAATACCAGAGGTTCACCAATAAATAAGATGAAGAAAAAGAAATGCCATTTCTCTTCTAATCCCAATTCTTGATTAATCTCCTGTTTTAAATAGCCTGCTCTATATTTAAATCACGAGACTATTTCTTGTAACTCCCTATAAATTATACATATTAAAAGAAATTATTTTTTAAAGTCAAGTTTAAAAATGCCTGTCAAAACTTGCTTTCATGAAGAAGTCATAGGCCATGTTCTTCCCCAAAATGTTCCTTTTTTCTCTGGTATCACTAACCTTCCATGGTGGAGATGGTTCCTTCTGGACAAGGAACACAATTGTAGCAACAGATGGGTTTCCCTTCCAAAACCACCTTCATGAATCCAGGATGACAGCTTTCCACACACCTGGAAGTTGGTAGGCTCTGAAGAATGAAAGGAAGTACACCCAGATCATCAATGTATTTGTATCTGTATCTGCATCTGCATCTGCATCTACATCTACATTTATAGCTATTTCATGAAAATCGAAGATCTTATTTTTTGTGACCAACTGAATAAAGATGATATTTGCACTGTTCAGAACTTGATCAGCTGACATGAATACTCAAAAGCAATAACAGAAGCCCAAAACTGTAGTCCTGTTTTTGCCACATTTAGTAGAATAAAATAAACATTAATTGCAGATTGTCAGCATTTGTACCTGTCCAATACTCCTCTGGTCAATAGTAACTTTAAAATCCTGAGTTGTCTGTTTTTCTAGACTTCCAGTTTTTGTTCTCTTGACAGATTTGTTTGGGAAAACAACCCAGTTCACAATGTTCAAGTCAGCCGTCAAATCTCCTTTCTCATCCAAATATACCCCATCTATGGAATTATTGTGAAACTGAGGGCTCTGAAGGAAAGGGTGAAGCTGGAAAGAAAAGGAAAAGAAGAGTTTAGAAAGTACATCAGAAATATTTGTTTGTTTGTTTGTTGGTAACCCACCTTTAATACTTTTACAAATAACTCAAGGTGGCAAATATATGCAACACACCTTCCTTCTCCTATTTTTCTCACAAAAACAACCCTGAGAGTGAATTGGGCTGAGAGAGATTGACTAGGCCAGTGGTTCTCAACCTTTCTAATGTCGCGACCCCATAATACAGTTCCCCATGTTGTGGTGATCCCCAACCACTTATACATCACCGGGTGCCAGGGGCGTGGCCAAAGAAAAGGGGGAAAAAATGGCAGACAGCCTTGCTTGGCGACCCCCGTGAAATGGTCGTTCGACCCCAAATGGGGTCCCGACCCACAGGTTGAGAACCACTGGACTAGGCCAAGATCACCAAGCCGACTTTCATAGCTAAACTTGGTCCATATTGGGAGAGATCAGAACATTTCTCTCTCTCTTTCAGAAAAACCAGATTCTATTTTCAGTTCCAAACTTGGTTAGGAGTGTATCAATAAACATACGATTTTTATTTGGACACATGAGCTGGAAGGTGACAAAATTATTGCAAAAACAAGGATCAAGGGAAACGGAAAATAAATAGGTGGGAAAGATAGATTGCAATTAAGTTGGATCTGAGTTTCAGGATAATTTAATTTTTCAGACTATGTAACCAAGGCATCCACTTAGAAAACTGATTCCGATTTGCAGAAGGTACTGTACATGCCTGACGGGAAAGACATACCTGCCAAGCCGTCAGCCTTGGGGCTTCTAGCTTCATGCCTCTGTTCCTCACTGATCTCTTGAATGTGGAGATATGAGCTGAATGTAAGGCCCTTCCCACAGCCCAGATGGTGCTGTAAGTCAAGTAACTGTCCATAGCCAGGATCCGATCAATCTCCTCTTCCCTCACAGCCACCAGTTCTTCTCTCTGTCTGCACCGTCTCCAGACTTTCACCGAAAAGGCATCCTTAGTGGAGGA